ACCATGAATTTGTCGTAACCAGAATTTGGTGAATTTTTAGTTTATGTTTTGCCAATTTGTAAAAAACTTCGACATACATATGTACATATATTCATACATATATGTATATGTATATATGTTCATGTGCACTCGTACATTTGTACACATACATGCACATTACATGATATGTACCTACGCTGAACTAGTGTATATATCTTATAGGGTTTAGATAAGCAGGGAATATTTTTAAAATAATACCAACTTCTTAAAAATATGTATATTAGGTAGAGTTCTAGTTTTTCGAAATTTTTCGAAGTATAAGCACTGGCTACAAAATTTGTAAGATGATTATAGAATGATTTTAAATTTTGTACTCACTAGATTTTTTCGTTTAAATTATTAAACATGACCAATTGGGCATGAATACCAAGCTAAAAAAAGAAAGTATCTTATCTAGTATAAAAGTATCTTAAGATACATATCTTGTATCTTGTATCTTGACTACTCAATCTTTAGGAAAGTATCTTGTATCTTGTATCTTGTGTACTTGAACAAGATGTATCTTTTATCTTGTATCTTATATCTTATCCTAGAAAGTATCTTATCTTGTATCTTGTATCTTACGACCAAAGTATCTTGCCCACCCCTGCTTATTTCTTTAATGAACGCTACGAAAAACCATGGATTTATTAGTTATCTCCAAATTGCATCGTCAAATAAAAGAAGAGATGACAAAGTTTTGGATAATGCCATCCCGCAATTATTATTAGGTTTCTTTCATACCTAAAAAAAAGAAGATACTACGCAGTTAAAGGTCATTTTTCGCCTACACACGTATGTTCGAGAAAAGTTCCGTTATTGCAATTTCATGCATACATAACAAATAGGTAAATAAATAAGTGAAGTTGTATTTACAGTCATGACATATTTGATTATTGGGTTCAAATTGGTCTGGTGATGCATACGCGACAAGCTCGTTGTCTCTGCACTCTTAGAAAACTGGTATTGAATCATTACCGACCGGAGTACATGGCACTGGTAATAACGGGCATTACAGCTTACTTTTTCAAGCTACACTCTAATTGTGTAACGAGTTATATCAAAAAATCAAGTAAAAAATTAGGAATCACGTGGCCTTTGTGTGTCCGTTGAATGGCCCCCTTGAAAAAAAAGTTGAATTTTTTTCTCCCTTTCGAGGCGAAACCCAAGGCGCTCGTGGGTACTTTGACTCCCAATATTTTTCTTAAAGGGGGCCCTTCAACGGAATGATAAGCGCCATGTGATTCCTAATTTTTGGCTTGATTTTTTGCTATAACTCGTTACACAATCCCGGTGTAGCTTGAAAAAAAGGTTCCATTGTAATGGAAAATTTACCACGGAGAAACAAACAATTACCAATCTGGTTGGAACTTATTACCAAATCAATACCAGTCAGATTTTTAACAGTGTGTCGCTGTCCTTATGCAATTTATCCCTCGACGAAATAGTTATTAATCTAATAATCCGATCCATACGTATGGAATTAAATTACTTGGTAGACATAGGATGCACACGTAAGAGATGACTAACTGCTTGTGATGATGAAGTCTTTCTTCTACTCAAATGATAAGCCGGGATAATTTGATGATTAAGTAAACGACTTGTGGATTCGGCATATACGACAGGTCGGAGGACGCAATAGACTAATGAATAGACGTGATGTAAACTATGAAGTATCTGACAGATTTCAAAGGACTTGATTGAATTACAATTACGCGTATTAAACACTTATGTGCGAGATGAGAGTCCATTTAGACCGGGTGAAATCGCAGTTGAGCCAGTTTTCGTTATGTGGACACATCAGTGGCCGCGGAAGCGTTGGTCGGGACAGAGGGACAATGTCCCCACGGTTGTTCGATGTCCGCATCATCTCCCCATCTTATGTAAACCCCTCCCTATTCTAAGTAAAATGTTAATGTCCCCAGATGTTCCCACGGCTTCCGCGGCTACTGCTCCAAACACTTTAATACCATTGTGGTTATTAAAATTAGATTAAATTTGTCATTCGGATGGACACTATTGTGTTCCGTTGACTGTTTGTAAGAGTGAATATGTAAATAGTAGAATTACAATGGATTTCCGCATTCCTACGAATTTTGAATATCTCTCTGCCCACGTGTAATATTGTGTGTAATGTAATAATTAAAATTTGACGTGGATTTTGATGCTTCGAAGTCATGAGATTTCTGTTCATTCAAATCAAACTGGAACAAAGGGAGACTTTCGACTACTTACATGCTGGACAGTGGCCGCGGAAGCTGTGCGGACATCTGGGGACACTAGGATGGGGGACTGCGGGATTTATACGACCGATGATGGGGACATCGAACAACCGTGGGGACGACATTGTCCCTCTTTTGTCCCCGCGCTTCCGCGGCCACTGATATGCTGGATATCTGGATGGGAAGTGTATTCATGTATTTGTTTTCATGAACAATAATTGAATAACAAAGTAATAGATCCGCTGTGAACAGAATAATTCGATTTATTCACTAATAATCTGAAATAAGAGATGTCAATCAATCAGAATGGATGACATTGAGGGGTAAAGTATTTACGACTAAAATTCATGGGTCGATTGGTATATAAATATGTAAATACTCAAGCTGTCGGCAGATTTAGAACTCACGGTGCGTCTATATTTTGCAATTTCGCAATAATTTCCCACCTGCCTCGGAATGTAATGGAAACGCAATTATTTCAATAATATTGAGAAAGTTTTAGATCAAAACTTCTAAATTTGTGTACGCGTTCAGTGTTTCGTTTTTTTTACGGGTTTGGCACATTTCTTGCACTGCGAAGCAAGACCTGCGAGGTGCAAGAAACTGGGAGAAAGTGCAAGAAATATGCGTCATCTAGCCACGCGCCGTATCAAGCATACCTGTTCAAAAATTCAGTTTTCATTCATAAGTCAGTCATCCCGATTTCTGAGTGAAGATTTTCATTCACATTCAGTTATTTTCTTTCAAATTCATTTCACTTCATCAGACTTCATTTTTTACTTCGCCCCATGTATTAAGTATAGGGTGAAAAATCCTATTCGTCTGAAATGACCAAATTCTTCAGTCATATTAAATCAAATGACACCAAATTCATTTTCATTCACTATCATGCTCCATCATAATCACTCAAATGAATGAAAGTGAACAGGTATGGTATGAAGTATAGCGGCGGAACGTAGTTTCTCGCACCTTGAATTACTTGCAGGTCAAAATATTCACCTGCAAGGAACCACTTTCTCCCATTATTTCTTGCAAATGGTTACTTTCACCCGAAACTCTGTACATATTCATGTATATTAATTTATTCTAGTCGGCACGACGTTACCCAAGTCAGGTACGCAGACAGACAGACACACATTCCGACGCCGTGGGACAAGACAATAAAATTTATCCCGAACTTTCTCCACCTCGCTGAATGAGTCTCCCCTGCTTTGAATCTGGCTCGATTAGGGGGGATGTGTACATGCAATTCAATTTGGACTCGATATTTTGTTTGGTCTGGTCTGGTTTGTTGGGTGGGTGCAGGGGCCGCGGAAGCCGTGGGGGCATCTGGGGACATTAACATTGTAGGATGGGGGGAGGGAGGGGTTTATATAAGATGGGGAGATGATGCGGACATCGAACAACCGTGGGGACATTGTCCCTCTGTCCACACCCTTCCGCGGCCACTGCATCATGAGCATACGTTTCAGTATCCTGAATTCTCCCAGTGGCCGCGGACGCCGTGGGGACGTTAACATTGTAGGATGGGGGAGGGAGGGGCTTATCTAACATTGGGAGATGATTGGGACATTGAACAACCGTGGACATTGCCCCCCTTCCGCGGCCACTGGGTGGGTGGGTGGATTGGAATGGCGGTTGGTTGGTTGGTTGGCTGTGTTACGAGGAAGTGAAAGCATTGAAATGATGAGTTTGACAGAATGACTTTCTCCAAAACCAAACCGAAGAGAAAGTTGAAGTGAAAGTAATTTGATTTTCAGACATGATTTATACATTAGCGGATTGCGTTGGTTAATTGTATTTGCATTCTATTAAATTGGTAAAAATAGATGTAGAGCAGACTAAATCTCATCACTTTACATACCTACTTTTTCAAGGTGTGAATAAAAAAATTTGTTATTTTCCACGCTTTTACTAAACTGTTAGAAATTTGGTACATATAGTCAGGCAGGCATGGATTTCTCGGTATTAAAGTTGTTTTCTGCTTGGTATTAAGATTATACCGGTCCGTAAAAATTTACTACCGATATGGTAAAACTTTAATAGTACCGAGCTATTAATAGGTGCAGGGTATTACTTATCATTGATAAGTAATCAATACCACCTTACATGAATACTGCTTGATATTATTTTACTATTGGATTTCTACACTGTTAGAAATCTGATATAGTTAGACAGGTATTGATTTCTTGGTATTAAAGTTGTTACCGCTTGGTATTAAAATTATACTGGTCCGTAAAAAAATTTGCTATATACCGATATGGTAAAACTTCAGTACTAAGCTATTACTGTGCGGTATTGCTTATTAATACTACTTGGGTAGAGTCATATATATATGAATACCGCTTGGTATTGTTTTAATACCGGATTTTTGAGAGTATATAATTCCAAACTCTGGTAATAAAACTAGAATAAGCTGACAGCCTAAATCTCATCAATTTACATATGTACCTACTTTTTCAAGGTGAAAGTTGAGAACAAATTGTTATTTTCCATTCTTTTCGTTCGCTTTTAATGAATTTCATTACGAAAAAATATTCACGAATCGAAGAAGCAAATCGCCAACTTTTTTTCTATTTTCTCGTCACAACAAAGGACTGAAATCGTATTCATGATATTGTTGGCTTACACGTGCCGTGGAGTAAAATGCGACGAATGTTCGAAGTTTTGCAACATTGCGAAACCTTTGCAAAGCCAGGAAACGTGTGTGTCAGCAGACGTTTTAATGTCAACAATTTTAATAAAGGAGAGAGAGAAGAATTCATTAATGAGATTGGTACATACATACCTACAAAACTTTTTATTAAATTGCATACTTTCACGAATTTTTGGAAACCATTTCATTAGTTTGAATTAATTTAGGAAATTAATTTGTATTTAAGAAGAGTATAGTTACAAGAATTTCGAATTCTTCTAAGTGACATAAAGTAAGTATGTACTTAAAAGGGAGGTGTTTCAGCGGATGCTCTACGATTTTGAGCAACTTATTGGGAATCGATCACGAATTTAATTAGTACGAAATTTGCGAAAAACACGATCTCCCAATGGGCACGTTTGGCAGAGATATTTGCATTCGAAGAGGAGAAAACGGCACAAATGTTGACAAATTTTACAACTTCAAAATTTCTTAAAAAATGTAAGGCTTTGATGCCAATCAAATAAAAAAAACACATATTAAATATAATATTAATTTTTAGATATTTGCATCCAAAGAGTAGAAAACGAGCAGTAAATTTGGAAAGTGTAAAATTTGTCAACTTTAGGGCGCGTTTTCTCCTCTTCGGATGCAAATATTTAGGCCAAACTTGCCCATTAGGAGATCGTGTCTTTCGCAAATTTCATACTAACTAAATTTGCAATAGATTCACACTAATTTGCTCAAAATCTGAGAGCATCCTCTGGGAGACCTCCCTTGTTCCTTACTTTCCTACTTATTTCTTCTTCTGTTTGGCATTCGATTCCCGAATAGCTTTCTCCATAACGTCCCACTGTTCATTTGGGATGTTGATAAACTGGTTAAATTCACCTGCAGCGAATGGCAAGCTTCCCCCATCCAGGACGATGGTCTGTATTTCATAGTAAAACGGAATAAATGAGAGATGGATTAAGAATTTATTAAATTTAATGGTTAAGTAAATTCGTCGGAAATGAAAAATCCTAAAATAGGGCTGCTTCACTGCTGCGCATTTTCTGATTTCTTTTTAGAAATGTTGATATGCATGAGTGTGTACGAGGCTGCCGGAGGGTTGAATAACTACATTAGTGAATGTGTTGTTCGTTCAGGAACGACTCTACAAGTTGGTGAATACTTGCATACGTATTTATAGTGGCCGCGGAAGCCGTGGGGACATCTGGGGGCATTTACATTGTAGGATGGGGGAGGCAGGGGTTTATATAAGATGGGGAGATGATGCGGACATCGAATAACTGTCCCCACGCTTCCGCGGCCACTGCGTATGTACGTCAAAGGTAGGGAGAAAGTTGGGAGACAAAGCGGTGCGATATGTATCCACGATTTCACAGAAAGTGTGTACCTGTACTAACAATGGAGGTCTCCCAGCGTATGCTCTCCGATTTTGGGTAAATTAGTGTCAATTCGATGACAAATTTAACTAGGGTAAAATTTGCGAAAGACACGATCTCCCAATGGGCACGTTTGGTAGAGATATTTGCATCCGAAGAGGAGAAGGCGTGCCTTCAAATATCTGACCTAGTTTAATTTATTAGTTTTCTTTACCAGAATTTGTTTCTGACTTTGAAACATTACAATTTTACACTCGAAATTTAAAGTTCGCTTTCTCCTCTTCGGATGCAAATATCTCGGCAAAACGTGCCCATTGGGAGATCGTGTCTTTTGCAAATTTCATCCTAACTAAATTTGTCATCGATTCACACTAATTTGCTCAAAATCGGAGAGCATACGTTAGGAGACCTCCTTTGCAAATATCATCACATCACAGGAGTGTCACCTCTCCCAGGGATTTGACATTTGCCAAATAAGTGGTCCATTATATTATATCACAGCAGTGATACGAACCAACACACCACCCCCGCTCGTGAAGTGGCTATCTCATCACTAGATTTATAAAATTCCTCCTTTGTACTCGCCTCGCCAGTCATCCAGGAAGCGTAGTCGCTGAGCATGTAAGAGGCCAAGTTCGCAATCTCTTCAACCTCTCCCACTCTCCCCGTCGGCAACGTATCCAGGGCGTGTTCCGCAAAGCTGAAACAGAAAAGTTGGTCACGTAAGTAAATAAAAGTACAAAAGAGCAGGAGGACGACCAGCCAAACATAATAATAATGCGGGGGACAGATGGATGGAGAAAACTCGAGGCGTGGATGGCAGGTGGTTATGTACAGTCGGTGGCCGCGGAAGCTGTGGGGACATCTGGGGACATTGCAAATTGTAGGGTGGGGGGAGCGACGGGTTTATATAAGACGGGCAGATGATGGGGACATCAAACAACCGTGGGGACATTGCCCCTCTGTTCCGAGGGCACTGATAATATTATAAAGAAATCTATCCCTGACACCGGAAGAATGCTGCGTGGGTGTCCATCTCCAAGGTCGACGTGGATACATTACAGTTTTATAACACAATCAATAATAAAAACAATATCGGGTATGTAAGACGGAGTAAAAGCGAGCATACGAAAACGGTAGTAAAATCACGAATCACTCCATGCAAGACTTTTTAATAAAAAAAGCAGTGGCCGCGGAAGCCGTGGAGGCATTAACACTGTAGGATAGGGGAGGGACGGGTTTATATAACATGGGGACATCGAATAACCGTGGGAACATTGTCCCTCTGTCCCCAAACTTCCGCGGCCACTGGAGACAACTGATTTAAAAGTGGGTAAAAAGGGAAAAGTTGAGACCTTTGACCTAGTCATGAGTTGGCCGGACGTCAAAAATATTGATGGCGTTGATGTCGTTATGAAATTTCATTGAAAACTACACCCAATTGATAGGAAAGTTAAGGTTAAATTTTATTTTGGACCACCTTACGGACGGACAAAACGATCACAATAAGTAGCTGACACAACTTACAAAGAAATAACGCGTAGTAAAAGTGTGCATACGAAAACGGTAGTAAACTCACAAATCACTCCACACCGGACTTTTTAATATAAAAGATGTAGATTCCTTACCTGTTCGTAGGGTCGAGACGGGACCAAGCCCCCTCCGTTGGCACGGGGCCGGGAGCCAAGCAATTTAACCGAATCCCATATCGGCCCCATTCGCTGGCCAGTGAGCTGTAAAATTTTAGGAATCTTTTCAATTTATTTGTTACAACAACAACAATGTTTTTTGAACATATGCAAATTTTTAGGCTGTAACAAGCTCATCCTTTGCAAATCTGTTCAATCGGAAATTTAGCTCCTACTCGTTACGACCAAAACGAGCACTCTTGAAACTTTTCAATGTCATTTGCGACAAAAAAAATAGCAGCGCGTGTACGCCTTTGTCGGAAAAGTTATAAACGGCAACGACATTTGTCCCCTTGTTTCATTAGTGGGGTAAAAATTGAAGTTTTGAACATCATTTCTTGGTAGGATGTGTTACAGGACCAACCAGTCAACCAGGGTGAATTGATTGTTGGGACCAGTGGCCGCGGAAGGGTGTGTGGGGACAGAGGGACAATGTCCCCACAGTAATTCGATGTCCCCATCATTTGCCCATATTATTATATGAACCCCTCTCTCCCCCTATCCTACAATGTTAATGTTCCCAGATGTCCCCACAGCTTCCGCGGCCAATGGGAGAATTCAGGCTACTCAAATGCATGTGCATGATACAGTGGCCGCGGAAGCGTAAGGATAGAGGGACAATGTCCCCACGGTTGTTCGATGCCCCCGAGTTATATAAACCCTTTCCTCCCCCCATCCTACAATTTTAATGTCCCCAAATGTCCCCACACCTTCCGCGGCCACTGGTCGCCACCTTAAGAGTAAATTTCCCTATTTCTTTCCGGTCGGATGGATTTATTTTCTCATAAATAAGAGGATCTCTCTCTCTCTCCTCGTTAAAATGTAATGCTCCACGTGCCGGATAACTACACGTTTTTCATGAATACCTGAAAAAATTACGTCGTGAAGGTTATCACTTTATTATTACAACGACTTTTACTTACCGACACATATTTTCAACTCCTGCCTTCGCTGCGGCTGACGGCACGACAAATCCAGATCCTTTGAACGTGTACGTGGTAGTTATCGAGAGGTAAGATGCTCCTAAATAGAAGAGAGAAAATGTGTCGTTAATCATCATAATTTATTGGTGCATGCCAGTGGCCGCGGAAGGTGTGGAGACATGTGGGGATATTAAAATTGTACGATAAGGGAGAGGTTTATATAACTGGGTAAATGATGGGGACATCGAATAATTAACCGTGGGGACATTGTCCCTCTATCCCCCCAACTTCCGCGGCCACTGCATCATGTTAATGCATTTAAGTAGCCTGAATTCTCTCAGTGGCCGCGGAAGCCGTGGGGACATTGTCAGATAGAGGATGAAGGGGTTTATTTAACATGGGGAGATGATGGGGACACCGAATAACATTGGGGACAATGTCCCTCTATCCCCTCAACCTTCCGCGGCCACTGATTCGTGCCTTGCATAAAATCGCATTTTTTCTCAATTATACTAATTTTGAACGAGACTTGGAGAATCTGAATCGCAGAAATGTCACTCCAGCTGTCAATTTGGTAATAAAATGCTGCTCACCTTTTTTCGCTTTGATAAGCCTTTTTCCAGTTTCGAGAGTAATGTTGGCACTTCCGTTGAGAACGATGTCAATTATGGTTTTCCACGCGTTGGGCGATAAGCGCTCCGAAGGGGAGACAAAGTTCCCAGCGGCGTTGTTCACAATTACGTTTGGCAAGCCGAACTTTTCCTCGATCTTGTCAATTACACCCTTGACGGCTTCCGGGTCTCGAATGTCACAGGGAAAAGGAAGAACTTGATTTCCCGTAGAGGCAGAGAGGTCTTTCGCCGTAGTTTCGAGAACGTTGAGGCGTCTAGGTGAAAAAAAATATATGCAAATTTTTGAGTTTGAATTTATTTCGATTTTTAGCACCCTAAATATATTTTTACGGCCCCACGTGACCTATTTTTATATGACCCCCACCGATCAAAATTATTTTGGTTTTTCGCCGTAGTTTCGAGAACGTTAAAAAATGTATGCAAATGAATTTGTAAGTTTGACTTCCTTTCGAAGTTTAACGCCGTAAATGTGTTTTTGGCAAAATTTTATTGAAACGATCCTACGTGACGTTTAGATTCTTTAGATGTACTACCTCCACCGATTCAGATTTTTTCGAATTCGATTCGTACCTAGATTCTGCAGATCGTATGTAATGTTTCAATTTCAAAATTTGGTCCACGCGTTCCAGATTTATGCAAAGACGGACGGACGGACAGACAACGATTACATAAGCCTTTTCGTTGCTTATTACATTTTGGAAATAGTAATATTTCTACCAAATTTGATTTCAAGATCGGTCCACGTGTTCCAGATTTATAGAAAGAAAGACCGACGGACGGATAGACAGACAGGACGATTACATAAGGCCTGACTCTACCTAAAAATAAAGTTATAAAGTGGGTCACATGCAATCTACGCGTGTCAAGTTATGAAATAATGAACTTTTCTTCTTTATATGCACCTAAGTCGAAAAAAAATGATGCGTGAAGAAAGTAGAAAGAGAAACGGATCCGCTCGTGTACGAGTAATGTCAAGATGTTTCAATTACAAAGTTTCGTACCCATCAATCTTGCCAGTTTCGTTGCGTTCGTGTGATATGAAAGATGAAACTCTCATTTAGCTGCCACGTGCTGTATGTAACTTTCACCGTGTATGTACAATTAGATGTAATTTGGATTCACCAGAAGCCAGGAAGAAAATGAGACTATGTGTAAAGAGTAGGCTTTCACTGCAAACTTATTAACTTACCTATTACTGAAGATACTTACAAGGGAGGTGTCCCAGCGGATGCTCTCCGATTTTGAGCAAAATACTGTCAATCGAAGGCAAATTTAATTAGGATGAAATTTGCGAAAGACACGATCTCCCAATGGGCACTTTTGACAGAGATATTTGCATCGCAAGAGGAGAAAACGCGCAGTAAAGTTGACAAATTTTACAACTTCAAAATTTCTTAAAAATGTAAGGCTTTGATACCAATAAAGTAAAAAAAACATGTATATAAAAAAAGTATTAATTTTTAGATATTTGCATCGAAATAGGACAAAACACTAGTAAGTACTAGTAACTCTGGAAAGTGTAAAATTTGTCGACATTACGCCACGTTTTCTCCTCTTCGGATGCAAATATCTCGGCCAAACGTGCCCATCGGGAGATCGTGTCTTTCGCAAATTTCATCCTAATTAAATTTGTTATCGATTGACACTAATTTTCCCAAAATCGGATCGCTGGGAGACCTCCATTGTTAGATGGAGATAAACAATATATAATAAGGAAACCGATACTGTTACGAGTACAGGAATTAGAAAGAAAACAGAGATGTGCTACATACAAAGTAAAGCTCATTGTTGAATGAAAGTTTGTTTGTTTTCGTTTTCGCGATGTGGAGCAGTTGGAAATGTGTGTGTGTGCCTTATCTTTATCTAGGAGAAGCTTATCCATCATATCCAACGATAATTTATCATTTCCAAATATCTACTTCATTCAGCATCCTCTTCAACTCAAATATTAACTTTTGCTAGAAATAATAACTTCCTAATTTTCCGAGAATGCTCAACTTTCCATTGTGTAAATATTTCTGCAAATACGAACACAAATCTTCAAACGACATTCGTTATGTGCCAAGAACGGGACAAACTGCATATTGAGAATGAATGAAATATTATCAAAGCAGAGATAATTTTCTATGCAAACTGTGTTTTTAGACTTACATAAGCAGAATATTTCAAGGGTTAGGATTTGCATAAGTCAAGATTTTAAGAATTTAAGGTAGCATTTGATGACTCTTCGCCAAACAAGTCAAAATTTACACGTTTTTAATTATTTTTCGCCTCTGGGAATTTATTTTTAAAGTTCTGGACGACAAATTTGCAGTCAGTGAGTTGATTAATGGAATTGTGGTGAGTTTTTTAAGCCAGTTTCCACGAGTTCCAATTTTTCTGAAGGATTCTTAAACTTGAGATCTCCTCCTTCAAAAAGTGTCAAAATCTGTAGTGTATATTTTTAAAAAGTTAACAACTCCCTGCTCTACATATTTGCCTGTCAGAATTTTAAAATAAATTCCCAGAAGCGAGAAATAATTAAAAATGGGGTAATTTTGACGATGCGTCATCCAGTCCAACCTTAATGAATTTAAATACAAGACAATGTCAACCTCATCAAAAGTCGGACTGTTTTCTGCGTCATATTAATATTTCTTATTGCGACATAATTATTACACAATATGTGAAACGAGATGAAACGAACCTTCCCAAAATAGCGACCGATGCCCCCAGGGATGACAACATCAAGGCCATGCCTTTCCCCAGACCTGCACGTCAGTCAAAATACAGGGAAAATTGTAAATAAGCTCATTATATTCATATATATTCGAAAAGGTGAAAGGAAATAAAGTGAGCAGGAGAGAATCGCACGTTCGCAATTTCATTCATTCAGCAAAACGAAATTATATGCAAGCTTGTTTTCTGCACGTAGTTTTTCATTGCAAAAAAAGGTCACATGTCCTCATAATAGGTGCACCCTTGGTATTAATTTTAGCACAGATTTCGGTCCGGAATAATTTTAGAAAAATTTCAAAAATAGAAAATATGATATTTTTCTTTGTTTGCATAACGTGTATCCATTCAGTCCAGAGGTATGTCACCATGAAATACATGTCAGCACAAAAAACATTCAATTTTCCGTTTTGAAAATTTTCGAAAAAATTAGCCCTGACCAAAATCCGTGTTGAAATCTGTACCAAGGGTACGAGGTCATGTGACTTTTTGCAGTGAAAAGTATATAAGTGCAGAATACAGGCTTGATTTTATATTAGAAACAGTGGCCGCGGAAGCGTGCGTGGGGACAGAGGGACTATTTCCCCAAAGTTATTCGATGTCCGCATAATCTCCCCATGTTATATAAACCCCTCCCTCCTTTATCCTGCAACGTTAATGTCCCCACGGCTTCCGCGGCCACTGGTGTTTGAGAAAGTAAATATGTACTTACCTGTCCCCCCACCCGTGATGAGAGCCACTTTCCCGGCGAAAGCCCCCTTCGGCAACATGGGTGTTTTCATCACGGGAAAAAACCTTGACTGCGGTCGAGTCGGGATTGACGACGAGTTCATTTTCGGTTTAGTTGACCTTGATTATGTTAATTTTTTGCGAAACCTGTGACACGAAAATTACCAAGAAAGTATTTATTTATATAAGTCGAATTAGCAAATTTACATACATAATTTTGCACAAAATTTCATCAACTAATTTTCAGAAATGATGACAAACGACTCCTTAATTAAGTTGATTTCAATCTCTTTCTTTCATCTTCTCTCTCGAGTGTGCTGCTGGCATCAAATAATTGCGAATCCGTCTTATCAAATCATTCCATTAGTGAAAAGAATCGTCAAAGAAGAACAAGTCTGATTCCCCGTAATTTACGTCAATTTGGAAAATATCTCAAAGAAAATAAAACAACTCGTCTCGTAACAGAGAACATCAGCCATTATCCAATTTAGCGATCCGCTCGTGTGGATTTTTGAACATCATCATATTACCAAAGGTGAAATCGGTATGGAAAAAGTTGGAATCTATTATTATTATTTTGTGTATGTATGTACCTACGGTAGAGATCAGAGATCACTAACAACAAACAAGGTACGAGAATCTCTTTGAAGCTGTGATATGCTTATTTAACCGTGAGCCACTTTTTTTCCTAGGAAGAGAAGCAGAGGTGGGGAAAATACTGGCAAAATGCAGAGTATTTTGAGCTTATCCTCTTTCCAGGGTTTTGATTTCCGGGGCTGGCACACCCACAAAAAGACGAAAATCTACGTGGAGAAGGCAACAGTCAGTCAAAAATACAGGTTTTCTGAAGAAATTAACTTTTTATCGGCGTCAAGATACATCGTTTTCACGATTTTTTTAAAATAAAGTATTTTGACCTAGATAAAAAGTTAATTTCTTCACAAAACCTGTATTTTCCTACCACTATTGCCTTCTCCACGTAGATTTTCGTCTTTTTTTGGATGTAACACCCCCGGAAATCCAAACCCTGGGAAGAACTGGCATCAAAATACTGTATTTTGACCCAGTATTTTGCCCACCCCTTGAACACAATGCGACGCAGATATCGTGTTGGTGTTATGATAAGTGTCACCCTGACATGAGGACACGGTTCCGCAATAATGGAATAGAAAGTCATGATTTGTTTAAGTTTTCTGAATATGACGGAAATAGGAAAGTAAGCGGCGTGAGTTTGGGACGAACGACGGTGTCGAAAATTGGGTTTTCCATCCAATCTGATGAGAGAGAAAACAAGGAAAAGGAAACAAGGAAAGTGAGATTGGAGAAAGTAAAGTGAAAGTAGAACTTTGAGACGAGAGCATTGAGCATTTTTGGTCGCCAATGACCCGGCAAGCGCCACATGCTTGACGGCACGACTTGCTAAATAAATCGCACCCTGCCTGCGAATTGTATTGTGGCAAGAATAAATCGGATAAAAGACTAAAAATAGTTTTTTTTAAACTAAAATATAGTTGAAATATTGACTAGCTGTTTTCCGCACGTACGGAATTACGTAAGTGGATTGAACGTTAAGTAAGTTATTTTTAACAATAAATAAATAATGTTTACCTGATTACACACTAAACGAATGACGATTTTGTAACACTATTTATTATTTTACAGTTACAGTTTATGTGAAAAATTAAGTTAAGTTAGTTAACTAATAAATCTGATTAAGTGGAGTGATTTGGAATTATACTTGGTGAATATTTGTTATCAATGTTATCGCATTTGTTTTAATGGTACGTGGTGCGATGTTTTATTGACAAACAGTTTATACATACATATTTAAGGAGTGATTAAATAATCGGTTAGTTAACTAACAGAGATTAAACGTGCCCCAACTGTGACGAGATTTGATTGGTAATCACCAATCAAACCGTGGTAAAACTGTCTGGAGAATATAAACTGTGAGTAAAACTGAAGTTTTTGTGAGCCGCGTGTTTATTGAGCTAACAATGCGGCTGATTTTTCTTTGTTAGTTAATTAACAACATTAAATTATATCGACTTGTTTAGAAGGAAAAATAGTGAGAAGTTGGTAATTGTGTGAAATTTTAAAGTTCAGTGTACAAGTCTCCACCTTTCACCTTTTTGACTTTGTGGTTTTTCGAGTTAATTGAATTCTTTAAAGAATCGACATAACACGTGGCTGAGGTTTTGAATAACAGTAAGTTTTTTAATTATTGATTTTCTTTAATAAAATGACATTTTACAGCAGTAAACAATTATTAAGCTGTCAATCCCTGTTTCCTGAAAGAATTTAATGGAAAAGTTAATTCATTTGATCTAGAATTCGTCAATCTCTGAATTCTGGAGGTTATTTATTTATTTATCTATAACTTTAAATTTTATATTAATTTTTAAAGGAGGACGAACTACTTAATTAGCAGGATGGCGTCAAACGACTTAACCGACCTCATCACAGCCGCCATCGCAAATTCCGGTGACGAAGCCCTGGTCGAGTCAAAGTCAAAGGAAATTGCTCAAAGTAGGTGGAAAGTTATACAAGTAAAACTATGTAATATTTACGGAAACCATTCTCAGAAACAATTTAGGATACTTGTGGTGGGTAGAAAATACGGGTTTTATCCGGTGTCACGTACACTTTACATAATGTGCAATTAATTTCACGTTAAATTTAAATCGATGTTTGACAAGGATTTAGTCCAATGCGATGGTTTGAAGTGCTACAGTCCGATTTTGTTGAAATTTTGGAATTATCAAGTTCAAGTCAATATAACCAACGTTTATTGTGCAATGGTTGGTTAGAGTTTGTCAAAATTTTTGAAATTAAAGTTGAAAAGTGTGCAATTTTTGGTATGCAGAGGAAGCAAACTCTACTTCCAGTTTTATCCTATGCCAAAAATCGCTCATTTTTCAACTTTGACCTCAAAATGTTTGAAAAGTTTTAACCATCGGACAAACTGCCTCAAGAAATGTTGATTTGAACTTCCAAAATTTCAACTATCTAAATAGGATCACAGATCACACCATCTCACCTTAGTCAAATGTTATGAAATATAATAAAAGGATATACGATAAGAGGACGATTGACATCTTAATTGCAGAGATTACGTCGCGAGAGTCCACATTATTGGGGCTGGTGGAGAATCTTGGTCCTCAACTAACCAGCACGACGGTACTTGATCGAGTGAAAGCAGTCGATATCCTCGCCCGAGTTTTCTCCACGCTCCCGAAAGATTTCCTCACCGAGAAAGAATTGGAATTCATCGTCGAGTTTTTATGTAATCGCCTAAAAGATCAACATCTCGTCATTCCGAAAGCGATTTTGTGCTGTTATCCAATCGTGAGTGACAAATTGAATATTAAATTACACCTTCTCGTACGTACAGTTTATGTAAGAAGTAGATGCGAAATCTAAATTGAATTTGTCAAAGTTTTTCTGTCTTTGATTCCGATCAGATTACTTACATTTCTGAGAATGCATAGGTTTTCCGTTAGATTATTTATCGTAATCTGATTTATCGCTGTGTTTGACTGCGTATGTACTTTGCGTGTTCATTAGAAGTGGCCGCGGAAGCAGGGGACAGAAGGACAACGTCCCCACGGTTGTTCGATATCCCCATTATCGGTCCATCTTATATAAACGTCTCCCTCCCCCATCCCACAATGTCAATGTCCCCACGGCTTCCGCGGCCACTGTTCATTAGTATTTACTTATGTATGTTATCCAATTGCAAGGAAGGAGAAATCCATTAAAATCTCAGGCCCCGTTTGAAGTTGATAGTTTCGTTAGAATGTCAGACGCAATATGTACCAAGGAAGGATCAGTGGCCGCGGAAGCCGTGGGGACATTAAGATTGTAGGATAGGGGAGAGAGGGATTTATATGTATAAGATGGACAAGCGATGGAGACTTTGACCCCACACTTCCGCGGCCACTTCCCACGATAAGAGTCCTCAGACTATCGTGATTACAGTTCTTAGTAAGTCGAGAGCATTACAAAATTCAACAAAGCTCTGTAGATATCCATGTTCTCTCTGTAATTAATTGCTATTCAAACTAATTGAATGCAACGAAAGACAAATTTCAAGTGACAGTTGAGACCTTGTGTGAAACAAAGGAGGAGAGCGAATTGAGTTGTAACCTTGCTCAAGGTGTCGGTTTCAAAGGTAACGTAACGCGACCTGAATGTCTAATTGTCTCTGATGAAGGAATGAATTTTGTAGGACAGAATTGCCTCGTGATTTTCTAATTAATTGGCGAACTGAATTTTTTGCATAGTTCTCGTCATCGTCTTTGTTTCCGGTTTCCAGAAATTATTAATGTTTCGGACAATGTTTAAAGACGCCCGACTAAAGTAGCAGTTTGACCTTGCACTTTCCTGTTTGTGGGTCTTTGGTCTCTAATTAATTACCATTTGCACTTTACCTTTCACTTATTTGTTCAACTGTCACTTTCTCCGTGTCGGAATTTGTTTTGAGTTTGTGGCCGCATTGCAACTCGTTAATTAATCCTCGCCACGTATTTACATAATGTATGCATGCAGTACAATAAATAATATTAAATTTCATGCTTGAACTGTTAAATAGGTCCAATGTCAGAACCTGCCAAGGGGCGCGGGTGCCCAACTACTTCACCAGATTTTCCAGGAAGCCAATGTGCAATCTCATGTTCATAAAATACGAAGAACCGTCTTTGAGATTATCGAGTTCCTAATCAGGCACAGAATAGAAGGTGAGATACGATAAGGGAGAGAGGTTATCTATTTTTGTAACAAATTTGCATGGTTATCCGATATTGGATTTTGTTGGTTTTATGACTTTTATGTAATGCAAATTTTAAGAAATTTTGAAAATATCACATTTCTAGAATGTTCTGCCGAGAGAAAGTTTTTTTTACTGCACTCTTAGAAATCCGGTAGTAGATCAGTACTGACAAGAGTACATATGTATATGACTCTACCGGCATGATAATACGGGCATTACCGTTTAGTAATGTGTGTGGTAATGAAAAATTTACCACTCAGAAACCAACTACTGCCAATCCGATGGGAAATTATTACCAAATCAGAACCAGTACGGCCCTAGCTGCACAGACCGAGAAATACACGTGCTCGATTGGGGTAAAGTCGTGGCAATCTGGGGTTCGTGTCAAATTCGTGTAAAATATTTTGGATACTCGTGTTTTTCTCTGTTGCAGAATACCAAAATCCACTGTGTTATAAAACACGTGTATTTTCCAAGGCAAAACTCGTGTTTCATATTCGTGTATTTTTGGTAACCAAGTCAGGGAAATACTCGTGTTAAAAACGTGTTAAAATGGTGTTTAGTTATTCTTTCCAAATGTTGCCTCCACCGCTAAACTTAATAAAGCACAGTACAAACACGGCAAGATTTTTGTGGATTTATGATAACAATTTATTTTAAGTTTAATTAATTACATATTTCTGAAAATGAAAAAATCCCGAGATAGACAGATGCAAAGGCAAGTTCGCAGCGCTGTAGCTGACTTTAATTTAGTTATAAATACTGTGTCACCAAATTTAACGGAAAACTTGGAAATTTCAACAGTCGACGAAACTTTATATTCGTCCCAAGCTGAAGTCGACAGGTTTGAAGTTGAAAGTGATAGTGCTTCGAGTGTGAAATCAGTGTCAAGTGTTAATAGTACGAGCACCGAAATTGATTGTGAATCAGTCACAGATTTAAGTGATAAGCTAAGAAGTTGGACAATAAGTCATAACATAACCGCTTCCGCAACGAGTGACCTGTTAAAACTTCTTCATGGCCATCATTGTTTTAAGTACCTGCCCCTTGATAGTAGGACTTTATTGCATACCCCGAGCAGTTATTAATGTACCACCCGGACAATACTGCGCGTTTGACTGGGTAGCATCAATCCGCAAAATAATTATGCAACGCGATTTAAGACATACAAGAGTGGAAATTCAAATAAATATTGACGGAATACCATTATACCACGGCTCGTCCCAACAGTTCTGGCCAATTTTAGGCGCAATTAATGACGATGTTTTCGTAATTGGAATATACTCAGGTCATCAAAAACCGAATTCCTTAGACGACTTCTTCTCACCATTTCTTCAGCAGTTGGACGAGGCCCCAAGACAACTATTAATTAATGGCGTTGAATATAAAATTAAGTTGAGTGACTTGATTTGCGATGCACCTGCGCGTGCATTTGTGCTAGGAATAAAGTGCCATGCAGGATATAGTTCTTGTGGAAATTGTACTATTAGAGGAGTATACTATAAAAACCGAGTAATATTTCCATATGGCAACCACCCTGAAAGGACCGATGCATCATTTCGTGCAAGACTTGATCCACAACATCACCATGAAGCTACATTCATTGAAAAAACCGACTCGGATTTGGTCAGAGACTCACCAGGGGAGTATATGCATTTAGTGTGTCTTGGAATTGTTAGAAAAATCTTATTCTTGTTGACAAAGGGTAAAAAGTGTCCTGCCAGATTGCGGCCCCATCAAATCGAAGAGATTTCAAATGAGCTACTAAAACTTAAAAGGAGCATACCATGCGAATTTGCCCGTAAACCTCGCAAATTGAAGGACCTTGAATATTGGAAAGCCACGGAATTTCGTCAGTTCCTACTGTATACGGGCCCACTGGTTTTGAAAAACATAATTTCCAACGACTTATATGAACATTTTATGTCACTACATGTTGCAATATCGATTTTGGCTGACAAAGTTCATATCACACACAACAACTATGCAAATGAATTACTTAATTATTTTGTCAAGCATTTTGGAACACTTTATGGTGAAGAAAATATGTCGTTTAATGTGCACGGACTCCTACATTTAGCAAGCGACTGCATTAATCACGGCCAACTCGACAAATTTAGTGCATTCAAATTTGAAAATAAACTTGAAGAAATTAAAAACTTGGTGAGATCAACAAATTGCCCCTTACAGCAAGCGCACAGAAGACTGATCGAGAGGGAGAACCAAATCCTTCCAGCCGCCTCCACTCCATTCGTGCCATGCCTAAACTCGCCGTGGTCGTATTCCAACCCTCCAGCCTACTTCGCTAATTGTTCTGAATTTTATAAGAAGTTTCAGAACACATTATTTAAATTAAGTGTTTTAAGTGCAGATAGGGCGTGTGAAATACTAAATGGCGATATTGTGATTATTAAAACATTTCTTAAGAAAGACGGGAAGGAATTATTCGTTGGACGACAGTTTATAGATAGGACTAACTTTTACTCGACTCCGTGCCCATCTTCAGTGTTAAATATTTATTTATTGTCAAAACCTGGGCCAATTAAGTGCTTTAATACGTCTCAAATAGTGAAGAAAGTGATTTTACTACCGTGTGGCACTAAATATTTAGCGGCTCCTCTCATTCATCTGTCGGCATAACCATCACTATTAATTTAAAGTGAAGAATTTTATGCGCCACCGTAACAATGTCCACTAATAATTTTGTTCTTGTGAAATTTATTGACACTAATGAAATTGAGGTAGTGTCAACTGCATGGTTATGCGCAAATAATACTAAATGTGCATGGCCCAATTACAAAAATCCAAGCCGAATTGTTAAAGCTGTTGGTCAACATGAAGCTTCAGAACAAACCAGGTCAATTCATGACGTAAAACTTCTTGGGAGTGGGCATAAATTTGGTAATTTTAAATAAACTTGTGAATATTTGGTGTTGCGTTTAAATGCGATTCTTTTCAATTGCCATTTGTATTACAGCAACTTATCGCGAAGCCCTCCAAAAACTTCCAAAAGTGATGGACCAGTCAGACGCAGATGTTTGGAGCGGAAATGATAAAAACAGGGTGTGCCGAAACAAGGGAAATGCGAGCGACAGTTCTGGAAGCGATGGGGACGACTCAATCAGTCCTAAGATACCACGTCCGCCCATGATAGGCAAAAATTGTTGTAATTTCTATCATGATTGTTGACCAATAGCTACATTTTAATTGATGTTTAATTAATCATTTTAATTATTTTTCCCTTGTAGATTTACAAAAAGCTGGGCTGAAAGAATCAACTGAAGGGGAGCCGATTCCAGGAGGGAAGTCTAGCAGAAATAAGACATTAAGCAATAATAATATGCCGTTTAAGCTATGCTTAGGTAAGCTTCATTTGAAATATGTACATAGATCGATCATATTTTTATTTATCTATGCACTTTCTGCATACGCATGCAATAATAAATTTATTGTTTGCAGCTAATCAGGACAGTACCATAACTGTGAAAGGTACACAACCGGAAGTTATGGGTGGGAATCAAATATCCAACGATAAAGGTGCAGGCACGTCTTCAACAAGCAACGGCGACGCCCAACTCTCCATTATTGGGAACGACAACGAATCACCCGAAGTTGGAATACTTTCCGCTGCGCTGCCCAAAGGAAATTCGATAGGCGCTCAGCAATCATCCTTGGAAGTAGAAAATTTTCTTCCCGGTACATAAAGAACGTTAACTTATTATAAAAATTAGCTAATGTAAACGAGTTATTTGTTTTCATAGGAAATCAATTTCAGAGTTGGGTGGTCAGAAATATCGCAAGCTTAAAAGTTCAGAGTCGTAACATTCAGGACACCTTGGATGCAATATTACTTCATTTGGATGGACAGAAAAAGCCCCAAGATGAAATTCGTCATCAAATTCCATTGATGAATATGGAGGATGTTAGCAAAGGGGGCCGGCTATTATGAGATTTTGGCCAACCGCGAGTCCCTGGAAAATACATTTCAAATATCGATCAATAAAAACAATCAATTCGTCTAATCGGATAAAGTAAATTTTCGTATCTACTTCAGGTGACACTTTTAAGGCAGCGTGGTTGTAGTAATGTTGCAAAGTGTACACGCCGCATATTATCAAAACTTGTGGGGATCAGTTGGCCAACTGTTACAATTGGATCGGGTCAAGGAAAATCAGCGTTCTGTGATGTATGGATGAAACAAGTAGTTTTCGGTAAATGTGTTCACGTACTATTTTAAACCTAACGCGTATAATACCTATCTGAAACAACACCACGCTTAATAGTGGAAGGTCACGCTAATTTTTTCTTTGAATATTTTAGATACGGTTCGTCAAAGTTTACCATCAAAGGCAGTGACAGATGACGAGATGGAAGCCGTAATTAAGAAATATTTGAAAGCAGCAGCAAAACGGTTGAAGAAAAATCATTGTGCTGATATGTATGTGAATACAATAATTAAATCCCGTTAAATTTTAAAGTTTATATTCATATTAATCTAATGTGTCAAATCATAGCGCTGGGACAATTTCCGATGGTGGATCAGACTTTATTACTCATGAGGAGTCGGATGACATATAATTTTTAACCATTAATCATTGTTCTCTGTTTGTTATGATTAATTTAAATAATTAAAATGAAATAAAGGCATGTCATGAACGGGAAAAATTGAGGCAATTCTCTGTGTTTATTTAGCGTAAAATACGTGTTTATTTCATGCATAAACACGAAAATTAAACGAGTTTATACCCTAATTATAAACGAGAATAACACGAGTTTTACACGTATTAGTTCTGTCCTAGACACGTGTTATACACGAATTTTACACGAGTCTGACACCGCAAAACGGCGACAATAACCCCCAATATTCACCATCTTTTACACCAAATCTTCACGTGTTAACCACGAGATTTCGTGTCCGCGGACTGGTGTTTTTCCCGTGTATTTCCCGAGTTTGTGCTACCAGGGGGGGTATATATGTGACTACCAGATTTTTAACAGTGTGTCGAATTTGTATTTAAATCATACCTTGTAATTTGAGAGTCAACTTTTGTAACCAACTAACCAACTACAATTCAATTTCGTTTCTCCTATGATTCCTAGAATTGAAGGAATTATCGTCTGACTTTGTCGTGAATTTTCTGCAAGCGATGGGTAAGTACATATGAATAAATGAAGGCTTACATATTCCATGCAAGTATTGCGTAACGTGGCAAATTTCCAGAATTCATTTTAATCTACCTAAATAATTGAACGCAGATGGAGAAAAAGACCCTCGCAACTTGTTGCTCCTGTTTCAAATGATGCCTCACGTAATCTCCACCTTTGACTTGGGTCCTTTCCTGGAAGACTTTTTTGAAATTTTGTCCTGCTATTTCCCCATCGACTTTTCTCCGGTATGGATTTCACATTTACGCGTAGAATAGGAATTTCCTACTATTTACTATTCATGTGCTTATGGAATGCCTCAATTGGATGTGATGCGATGCGACGTGTCACCAAGTTTTATATATTCAGTCACGTTTCTCTCATCATTTCAGACCGTGAGTCTTGGTGGGACCGTAATTACGAGGGAAGTTCTCGCCTCCGCTCTGCACACTTGTCTCTCGCACACCAACAAGTTTTCTCCATTCCTGATTCCTCTCGCGATGGAAAAGTTGGACTCTAGTCTTATCGATTCGAAACTTGACTCTCTCCGGTTGCTGGTAAGTGACTTGTTCAACTTAGGAGGAGGAGGAAGTCAGAAGTTGTCAATGCCAGATTGAGATGTTCGTTGGATTTGTTGTGGGGGTCTAAGAATGTTGAAAAAATGAAGAATGATTCGACTTCATGCGACCGCCACACCCACTCAAATGCGAAAAAACCTTTTCTTTTGTGTTTAAACTACAGCCAAAAATCAAGGCGATGATTTTAGTACGGCAATTTTCGCAAATTTTTGCGCCTTTGAGTGGGTGTGGCGGGCGCAAAAGGGCTCATAGACTTAACCCTTCTTCACTTTTCCTACACTGCAACATATCCAAGAGACATCAAGATCTGGAGTTGACAACCTGCGACCTTTTCTACTCCTTAGAAAATTGTGTAGGATTGCAACTTTCTTGAGAGAAAGGAACAATGGTTAAGTCTGTTTCCACTCGAGTTGAGACGAGTACATTGTATGCAAATTTGTCCCAGACGGTGCTGCAGTCAGCCTCTAATCTCTACGTGGTGGTACATGACTAGAATTTCGCTGCATGTGTCCGACCCTGAGACAAGTCGTACTTTTATCTCCCTCGAGTTCTTGATGCCCTTAAATGCAATAGATGCGAATTTTTATTCAATTACGCAATTTGTTTGACATGACAGGAGCTTTGCTGCGAGAAATGTTACCAACCCGGAAACCTTCAACCGTTCCTCGCCCAGATGTGGCACTCACTCCGGAGAGAAATCTTCATGGGGGGAAATGAATCCGTAGAGAAACAGTGCATCACACTTATCCAAAGTGTGTTCAAAGTCGTGTCAAGAGACGACGGTGTACTGAATACGTGCATTGAACTGATTTTCACAGGTAATGATCGGATCGGATCCATGTGATGTTTTTTTTTCTTTCGAGACTGTTCTACTCCCACGCATATTCCTTCCTAAATACTTTTCGGAACAGTCTAGAAGGCTTAAATGTGATAAGCAGAGCTCGGCGGATATCGGGTAGAAATCTCCAAATATCCGGGTCAATATTCAATATTCCGGCCAAAATTCTCGCCTCCCAATATCCATCTCCATTTTGGAGGTTTTCCGTATTAAATTTTCACCCTTCAATATCAAAATATCCATACAAAATTCTCGCCCTCCAATTATCCAATATCCGCCGAGCTCTGTGATAAAGATGCCTTTTTGTTGATCATAGTCTCGTATTTAAAAATTACAGAGTGCAAGCACCACTTGTGCGAACCCGAACTCCGGCTGATACATCCCACGTCGCGAATTCTAATTGGGATGTGTAACGCAAGTGAAAAATCGTGCCGAGCCGTGGCCCCTCTAATTCTGCAAGTACTTCACGACCAACTCACGAGGACTTCCGTTCAAGGAGAAAAGAAAAGAATTATGGAGATTGCTGAACTAATACTGTCAACTTGTCGCCAATACCCAGAAGGTTTGTTAGTTAACTGACTCCTGATGGCCTCTTTATGACCCTTTTTTGTTTAGTTTTTTTGCACGATGGAATGATCGAATGAGAGAGAATTCCATGGAAGAAGAAGCGCGACTAAATTATTCTGTTGGGTTACATTAAATGCATTTTAACGACTCTTTGTCTTCTTTCTAGTGGCTTTAGTGGAATTAGTGGACAAGTGGGACGAAATGTTGGGTAAGTGGTTTTATTGTTAAATAAAACTTATAGATAGATGGTAAATATATGACGGTTTTTTTATCTAGGAGCTTGGTTCAGCTTTATAACCAACGACGACTCAGAATTTGCCAACTTATCGTTGAAGATCTTGTTACGAGTTTTAGAAAATGAGGCCGACTTTCCCCAAAAGGACAGATTTTTACTGCAAGAGCACTTATTAGCTTTGCTCAAGTGCAACTCACTTTCTGATGGAGCTTTGTAAGTTGTGTGTGGTTCGTTCTCCCTCAAATTTTTGGAGAGGCTGGAATTTTTTGATATATGAATGTGGAAACGTACATATATTACGGTATCAAAAAGGTGGGTGGGTGGTTTTTGGTCGGAGTTCTTGATTGTGTTAAGCGCTTAACATTAATAGGATGGGGAAGGGGTTGTCTAAAAATCGGTGTTTTTTGATAACGTAATATATGGACGTTCCCTGTACAACAGACAAAAAAGTCATCACATTGAGACATTCATTTCAGTCGTGATTCTTTGTTTTTATGTTGCACACACATGTAATACTTTGATGCATGATGAATGAGAAAAGTTCTTATGGCTTGTTATATTGTGCAATAATGACGTTCTTGTTGACATTTCAGAGCTACGACGATTAAAATTGCAGAAACACTTGTTGCCAAACATGGAGATGAATTTTCAGAAAACTGCGTTAACAAGTTGCTCTCGTCTATGTCTCAACAAGGAGAATGTCTCGACGATGGGAACGAGATGGGAAGTCCTTGTGCAAAAGTTTTGGCAGAATGTGCCCCACACAATGCAACCGTTTTGGAGAAAGTCGTTTCTTCATTATTAACTCAGATTAGTTCAAGTTCTTTTTCAAGAGAAGGAGAAATCCCTCAATCACTAAAGTGTCTAAACAGAGTGGTGGAGAAAGTAAACGAGTTTTCTCCCAACTTTGAACAAGTGGCCTCTCTCAATTCCATTCTCGTTGTGCGACTTGCCGTTTTCGACAAAATATTTCAACTTGTCCTTGAAATTGCCAAAACCATGCGTGCTGGAGGTGGAGGCATTGACATGCTGAATCAACAGACTGAAATGAATGGGATGGAAGTGGAGACAACAACAAAGGACCTGGATATTTTCAATATCTGTGTAAGAATAGTACGTAACTTGGTCCGAAGTAGTGGTGAAGTGGTTCAGCAAGACTTGGTGGACCGGTTCTGGAAACAGAACGTGCTGGAGGCTGATTGGGAAAGTTTTCTAGACGGGTTTCCGGTGAGTACGGGTTAATTCTGGTTTGTAGGGATTATTGGTAATTAAGAATGTTTATTTATTGCACACAAGCCGTGTTAAAATGCTAAAATGCCATCGTTTTGAAAGAACCATGGGTCCGATTTCTGCTTTATTTCGGGAAAACGGGGGGAAGAAAATCCCGGAAAATTCCCACGGGCCGTAAAAAATGACCCTAAAAATGCTCGAAAATTCCTAGAAACCTTTAAAATTTCATAAAAATCCTAGAAAATTCCCGGTAGCTGTCAAAAATTTCTGAAAAATGCCAAAAATGGTTCAAACTTTCTCCCGCTTTCCCATGATTTTCCACGTGTTAATTCACGATTTCACGATTCTATCACGTGTTAATTTTGCAGTTTCAACTAGTGGAAGCAATCCTGGGTGGGTTACGACCAAAAATTGAGATCTACCGAAAAGCCGAGTTTGCTGAATACTTGTTACAAAAGAGTGTTCAGCCCACGCCACATAATGGGCACCCTTACCAGCGACTTTTGTCCGTCTTTGTCAACAAGTTGGAACCAGGTTAGTCAGGCAGGATTACGTGGAATTTGACAAGTAAAATCGTCTTATAATATAGTTATCTAATAAGGATGACATTTTTATTAGAAGCGGACTTTGAAAGTTTACTGAAGCGAGTGGAGACCGTAATTTTTGAGAACTTGGTGAAAATATCGAGCTCCATTCGATTCCCAGAATCTTCTTCTTCTTGTGGCGAATCTCCGATGGAAGTGGATGACACGGACGGTGAAATAGGTACGCACGCAGTGGCGGCGGAAGCAGGGGGACATTTTCCCCCCACAGAAATCCAGAAAAATCCTATCCTCCCCATGTTAATAAGTCACTCCTTCTCATACATATCTCACAATGCTAATGTCCCCTCACTTCCGCCGCTACTGTACACATGTACATATTTCTGATAATAGAAAGAAAATAAGTTTCTAAAAAGTTTCTATCAATACGATGTTACGTGAAAGGGATCCGGCATCTTCTTTTGAAAATAAGTTTCTTATGTTTTCATTCATAATAATTTTTATGAGTATTATGCAACTTTAATTAAATTAATACTTGCAGCAGACGGAAAGTTGACCGAGGACGAGTCGTCGAGGTCGTGTTGCGCTACTTCTCTCCTTACGTGGATTACGAAGGGTTTAGCAATGCGGGGAATACAGGACTTGAGTACTTGGTTGGGACGGGTTAGTAAATAAATAGCGTTACAAAATAGTAGTGTGTTTATGTCCAGTCCAGTGGCCGCGGAAGTGTGGGGACAGAGGAACCCTGTCAATGCTATATAAACCCCTGCCTAGTGCCTCCCATTAATGTCCCCACGGCATCCGCGGCCGCTGTTTATGTCGACGTGAGACTACCTTGTCGTCGGTGTTGATGTTTCCAGGAATTTTGTTGTGTGTACATACTAAACTTTGTCTGATAAGCAAGTTTATTAGTTTGCAAAATTAAATACCTACGCTGGTTAAATAATAATTTTTAATTAGTGTTTCGTTTGTTTGTGTCTTTCTCTAGTTGATAAATCTGCTCAACAGTAACATCGTGGGAACCGTGGCTGCTGACGGATTCGGGATTTTACTCTGTGATGATGAGGTTTCCCTAAATCCGAAATCTCACTGCAAGTTCAGGTCTCATATTTTTGATTGATTTATCTCCACGGCGCATTCCAAACATACTAAATTTCAGGGATGGTTGGAGTAGATACTTTGTGAAAATACAGGATTTTGGTTTGGATTTCCGGGGTTGTTACTCCATCAAAAACACGAGAATCTACGTGGAGAATACAAAAGTCATAGGAAAATGCGGATTTTGTCAAGAAATTGACTTTTTGTTGCCGTCAAAATACGTTGTTTTCAGGATTTAAAAAAAAAACACAGTACTTTGACAGCTATAAAAAATTAATATCTTCAGAAATCATGATTCTCGTACAGCTGCTGTCTTTTCCATGTAGGATTTTCGTTGTTTATGGGTGTAACAGCCTCGGAAATCCAAATCCTTGGAAGATATTAAGAGTAGAATTCTCGGAAGAATATTGTATTATTTTTTAAAAGTATTTTGCCAATCCCTGTCAAATTTATGTCTGATGTGCAGTTGCCCCCACCGTATTTTATTTTTCACTTCTCAATTTTCCCACATGCTGACAGGTTCTTGTATAAGCAGCGACTTTTCCAAACGTCAGTTCCACGCCTGGTGACTGGTTATCGTGGGTCAAAGTCAAATATGGCGAAAGCAAATTTCATCAAAGCCCTGAGTTGTCAGTTGAAGCACATTCCAAGCTCAATTTTGGGAATGGAGATGGAAAGTGTGAGTTCATTTGTGCTTCCTTTTTCTTCTTTTACCTTGTTATACGACGGGTGGGGAAAGTATGTTATGAATTTCTTTCATTTCTTTTGACCTTCCCAGAAATAAGGGGGCATTCCATTCCATTATAAATATGTTTGCGTTTCCAATCCACGTGCCTACCGGCAGTGGCCGCGGAAGCGTGGGGACAAAGGGACAATGTCCCCACGGTGGTTCGATGTCTTGCCCATCTTAATAAGCCCCTCGCTCCTTTATTCTTCAATGTTAATCTCCCCAAATGTCCCCACGGCTTACGCGGCCACTGGGAGAATTCAGGCTACTCAAATATATAAACATGATGCAGTGACCGCGGAAACGTGGGGGCAGAGGGACAATGTCCCCGCGGTTATTCGATGTCCGCATCATCTCCCCACGTTATATAAACCCCTCGCTCCCCTATCCTACAATGTTAATGCCCCCAGATGTCCCCACGGCTTCCGCGGCCACTGCCTGCCTACCGTACCTTTACCTCTCTCGAAATGGAAAACGTGTGTTGTTTGTTGGTCATTTATGTATGTTTGTATTTTAAAACAAGTCACGTTTCCTTTTCTGCGAGACCTTACCTTTTCTTTGTCGATTTATCATTCAAAATACCAACAATATTTTTGATGTTTAATTCCCTTCTGTAGGTTTTCCCTTTGCTCGTTGCCAGTCTGAAACTTGACACTTCCGCTCCACTTGTTTCCTCGACATTGAAAGCTTTTACGGAAATGTTACAAAACTCTGATGAAGAAACGGATAAGAAGCTTATCGAATATTGTTACGATATTGTGCCTCAGCTCGTAAAATTGGCAGGATTTCCGGGAAATATGGTATATACCTATGTTCGATTTCCTTTAAATGATTTACATGCAAATGGAATATAGCTTTTAGGCTGTGTAAATTGATTTATTGCATCTGCAGAAAGTCGCTCAGTTTCTGATATTAATGTTATCTAGCTAAATTGATATATTGCATTTGCACCGTGAGGAGAAAGTGCCCCTTGAAAGTGCTCCTCAGTTTCTGATATTATTGAATTGCATTTTACTTCCAGGAGGTGAGATGTATGGCCTTGCAGTGTTTGCTGAAATGTGCAAAATGTCCTTCACACGTCGTATTACCGCTGCGAGCAAAGGTAAGAAACTAATGATAAGAGTTGTACGTTGAGGAGTTGATAAGTACGGAAATTACAACTTTTTACTACGTACAGGTCATTGACGACCTTGGCCAATGCGTGGACGACCATAAAAGACTCGTGCGAAAAGAAGCCCGGACGGCGAGGAATGCTTGGATCCTTCTTGGCGCTGCTGGAGGAAGTTAGCCACGCGTATCTAACTAGCTATCAGAACGTACTAGGAACTGGATAGTTACATGTGCCAGAAATTTATTAAATGATAAATAATTTTGTAAGACAAAGTCTGCTCTGCTGCTTCCTATAAGAAATATCTATGTACTGTTTTTATAAACACAATAAATAAAGGTGACTCTCGTGACATAAATGGCTATGTTTCTCGTACAAATAATCCTTGTTTAGCTGTACATATTTATTTCTTCGTGGTGGCAAGATTCTTCCACGTGTGCGAATTTTTATTTTTATTTGCAACTTCATTTCCCCCTTGTGGCGTTGGCTAACCGAGTTTGTGTCGTATGTACCGGAGAAAGTTTGAAGAACATATTAATATTTCGCCTCAAGAAAGTGTGCCGTGGGTGATGAGGTTATAGAGTCGAAGTAGTCACGTTTTTTGTGCTCAGTGGCGGCGGAAGGTGGGGGGAGGGCATAGGGGGACATTAGCATTTTGGGATAGGAGGAGTCATACCTGTTCAAAAAAACTTTTTTCATTCAAACTTCAGTCATCCCAATTTCTGACTGAAGATTTTCAGTCATTTTCCTTCAAATTCATTTCATTTCACTTCATCTGACTTCATTTCTTCAAGGCGAAAAATGTAAAGAATGAAAAATCCTTCATTCACAGTCACTCATCTGAAATGACGGTATCTTTCACTCATTTTCATTCATATTTACAGGAAATTCATTTTCATTCACTATCAGCCATCATAATCAGTCACATGAATGAAAGTGAACAGGTATGAGGAGGAGGAGGAAAGACACGATTTTACTGAATTTCTGAAGGACAATGTCCCCCTCCCTGTTTCCGCCTCCAATGTATCCAGTCAAGCAAAGCCGTATGTAGTGCAATAATCCTAATTGAAGTGGTGGTCTTGGTCTCCTCAGCAGTTTTAGTTATGTCATTTGGAAATCTGAGCAATTTTGGGAAACCGTCTCATTCCGAGAAGTGTAGTAAATAAGTTGGTCGTTCGTAGTGGAAAAGTGTAATCAGAAATTATAATTTGGGCAGAACAGCATCGTACACTATGCTTTGATGTCATCATCTCTCCGTGTAATTAGTTTTACCAGAAATTGCCGTTTCTCAGAAATATTGCATATTTATTAAAGAAATATCAAGATTTTTTCCCCTTTCTAAATTACCTAAGGGTATCGCATCACGGATTTCTCTCCTTAAAAAAATGCTACTACATAAAGGTCATCACGTCATAAAAAGTGGTATTTGACATTTTGAAAATGTGTAGGATGTCGGCGACATACATATTCCCCACCTGATAATTCATTAAGTGACATTACGTGATTTTGATCATACTTGCATATTTGCACTCGGCTTCACATGGGAATTCCATACATATTATTTGCTAAGATTTGCGAATTTAAATTAACACGAAAACATACATACATGTCATTTCCAGCTAAATAATCAAACCGAATCCACCCACTGTATTAAACAAACTTTGAGAAAATGTACATATATAATGGATGAAAATGACAATAACTTTAAATGATGCTTATGTACATACATACGTCAGAAGTTATCAGACACTTTATGTCTACCCTGGCTGGATGCGTCTACTACCTGTGTCGTCGTCCTCCCTGAGAATTGCCACCCAATCTGTCCCAGACACATCAATGAAAAGTGGAAAAGATCCAATCCACAAAGGCTGGAGAGATTCGATCATGTCATAAAAGTTGTCGCGATTACGTAAGACGAAGTGATTCTGGAGAAGCATTTCCTTCCTTTCCTCCTCCTCCTACTCCTACATTTCACTCACTTTGAACTTTCTTCTTCAATGGAGATTCTCTAAATAAATCCGTCACATAGAAAATGAATATCTAACAATATTCTGAAGCACACATAAGGAATCGAGTGATGTGATGTGATTGTGATCGTGATTGTCTTACGTATCACAGCCATCCACCCACCCACCCATTTACATTACATATGTATGTACGGCCCACGACAATTGTTGATTTATGATTTTAAAAAGCAGATGCATTTTTTCCCAGGGTACATACACAAAGAAGCTCATAAGCTTTGCATGTATTGCAATTTAAATAAGTACAAACAAAATGCATGTGTGTTTAAAGAGAGAAATTAAATTTTGCTTCTTTAATCACGTTTCATATCCACGAGGGGATTCCTGCTTATTTTCTATTTAATGGCTTTATTAAACCTGGAATATGTACATACATAGTTTTGATTAGATTACAACAATTCTAATCCCTAAATTATGGATTAAGCAAAAGACCAACTGGGAACCAAAATTTATGTAAATGTCTGGGGATCATTTATTTCCTTGTTATATATTTCGTAATATGGGATAATATGGGAAAATTCCGAGAATTTTTTTATTGGGGAAAGATTTAAGATTGTTTAAATCGTAAAAAAACTCTAGATTAAACTGAGAAATGGAATATTTATTTAAGAGCGTGCATGTGAAATTTTACACGTATTCAGAGTTTCTTAAACCCATGATTTCATGCCTAATAAACCTTTCGGCTATGTATACTTATGAACATACGTGCTCTTTATTGTCCATGTCTTACACGTAAAAAAGCATGAAATGTATCAAGATCCGTCTGTGGATAAAAGTCGTCCAAAGGAAAGCGAAATTACAAGCAATTGTCTACGAAACCTTTGACATTTCATGACTCGTTCTCCATCAACTCGTCGTAATATTTCTCGTCTTATTGCAGAAATTATACAACTTATTAGCATCATGAAGTCTCATATTAAGTATTTTATACCGACGACCAGTTCAACATATCCAGCCAGCAACCAGTTTGTCCGTTGTTGATGATCAGTGGCCGCGGAAGTCGTGGGGACATCGGGGGACATTAACATTGTAGGATAGGGGAGGGAGGGGTTTATATAAGATGGGGAGATGATGCGGACATCGAACAACCGTGGGGACATTGTCCCTCTGTCCCCACCAACCCTTCCCCGGCCACTGTTCTTGATGATCCTCCTTCCTTTGTGTTCCAAGCAAAACCACTTTGCTGTCATCATCATTTATCACACATTTCCATTCTTAAGAAAAAAATTATCCAACTTTTGTAACGATTTATGATGAGAATTTCACCGTCTTATGTACTTATTTGCTTGTTTGTTGTCCACCACACTTCCATATCAAATGAGATTATCAAAAATTGCGGTCTTTGACCATAACCTATGGAGTAACTTTACTGCATGAGGTCATTTTAGTATTTTAGCGAATAGTTGGCCAGTCATTAGTTCTGCTCTAAAGCGGATTCAGCAACAAGATGAAGTTGCTCAGGTTTTTAATTTTGTGGAGTTTAACGTTTTCATGTTTCCTCCAAATTTCGCATGGGCTAAAAACTAGACCAAAACCGAACAAGGTGAAACCTGCGAATAATAAGAATAAGACGAAAAATACCACAATTCGACCAATTTCTTCGAAAAAAACTAAAAATGTTGAAGTTTTGACAATCAAAATGTTCGAAATCACCTTTGATGCAAACCTGATCGAAGTAATTAGTGAAATTCCGATCCCCACAAATGGAGAGATTGTAGTTGGTCGTGATACTGTGGGGCAGGCTGGGGGAAAGCTGATCTTTCAGTGCGTATCGCAATACCCAGTTCAATGGATTTATACGGGAGACGGGGTAAAATTGAGACAAAAGTTCATTTTGAGACTAGATTTCATACATAGATATTTTGCCAAAATAATGCAGTATTTTGAGCTACGTTCTTCCTAGGGTTTGGATTTCCGGAGGTGTTACACCCACAAAAAGACGACAATCTACGTGGAGAAGACAACAGCCATACGAAAATACAGGTTTTGTGAAGAAATTAACTTTTTATCGCTGTAAAAATACTTTATTTTCACGATTTTCAAAAAAACAAAGTATTTTGACCGCGGCAAAAAGTTAATTTCTTTTAAAGAAACCTGTATTTTTGTATGACTGTTGCATTTTCCACGTTGATTTTCGTCTTTTTGTGGGTGTAACACCCCTGGAAATCTAAACTCTGGGCAGTACGCAGCTCAAAATACTGTGTTTTGACAAAATATTTTGCCCATCCATGCAAGATTTTGCTAGATACATACTTTCTCCTCATTTTTTTAGAATCCCGAAATTACCACGAATCTCACAATTAGCGAACCTACGAAAAGATCGGACGCCTCAAATTACGTCGCAAACGTGGGCTTAGGTTTTAACACCGCTCTCCGAGAAAGTTTTACGGGTGAATATATCTGCAAAAAGGTGCAGGTTCGTAAAAATTGGGAAAAATATTCGCCCAAATTCGCCTCCGTGTATGTCTACGTGCCAGGTTTGTTGTTTTAATATGCTAATTAGCTAGATATTATGACGCAATGGTGACGTCATACATTACATATTTTTAAATGTTTTCAGGCAGTTCTCTCTTCATCCAAAAAACCGGAGAAAGCTTGTACCCTCCAAAAGATGCAAATTGGGTCCGGATTCCATGCTCGGTAACGCATCCCGACGTAATTGTCACGTTGCAGAAGAAAAATGAAAACGTAAGTGGTACAAACATTTCGATCTCGCCCACATGTCGACGACACGTCTGTAATGGAAACGTGTGTTAGAAATGTGGTGTAAATTTTGATCTCAAGAGATTTAAATTTTTGTATGCGGTCTGCGGGTACATTCAGTGTTTCGTTTCTTGCGGGTTTGCTACATTTCTTGCAAAGAAAGCAAGGCAAGAAATGCGAGGTGCAAGAAACTGGGAGAAAGTAAGAAAGTGCAAGAAATGTGCGCCATCCAGCCACGCCCCGTATGAACTACAGCGACAGGGTGCAGTTTCTTGCGCCTTGCATTTCTTGCAGGTCAAAATATTTACCTACAAGAAACCACTTTCTCTCAGTTATTTATTATCTTTCAAAATTTTAAAAAATGTAGGAATAAGAACAAAAAATCTGCGAAGTAATTGAGCTCTATAAAAATCATTCTATTTTCTTAAATGGCGTTGAAATCTCTCAAAATTCTAAAAATCTTGAAATCTACAAAAAAGAAACAATCTCATAATTCTAAAAATATGCACATAAGTAAATGCGTCGTATCCATAATGTGTCCATCCACATTTCTTAATTTTGTCATAAAAAGCATACTTCTTTTTAAGATTTGTACCATGCATTTCTTGCAGGTCAAAATATTTGCCTGCAAGAAACCACTTTCTCTCCCCTTATTTCTTGCAAGTAGTTACGTTCACCCGAAACACTGAATACCTTTTACTAATTTTCTTCTTCAGGGTTTACTCCAATGTCCTTCCGAACACGAGGTTCGTTTCAGTCCGAAATCCGGTTTTATTGTGACCTCCCTCATCAGAGAAGTTTGGGGGAAGTACGTCTGCATCGGAAGCTTCAATGGGACCACGACTCCCCAGGAAATGATTCAACTTGTAGAATATTCCGTCACGGAAGAGGAGAAAAAGTTGACTGGAAAGAACAAAAAACAGAAAAAAGTTGGTCCCAAAAAATCAGCCTCTTCTGCAGAACGAGGTAAATACTAAATTACTAATTCATTTCTAAATTAGTCTGCGTAGGTAATTAAACAGTCTGAATTTCGTCGTATCGTTTAGTTTGATCTTGTTTTTCTCTTTGCACTTTTGTTGATGAAATTAAAACTCACGTCGTAGTCTACAGTGGCTACGGAAGCTGTGGGGACATCTGGGGACATTAACATTGTAGGATATGGGAGGGGAGGGGTTTATATAACATGTGGAGATGATGAAAAAATCGAATAAGCGTGGGGACATTCTCCCTCTTTTGACCACACGGTTCCGCGGCCACTGGTCGTCTACTGAAATTAAGACAAGCACTTTCTTTCTAACAAGAAATCTCGTCTTGCTTGAAATTATTTAAAACTTTGCGTGGGTGGGGGGAAGGATAAAAATTGCATAAAATGATACGTACGGGAAAATTAATCAGCTTTTAGTACAAAAGCAAGTAGGACACGTGCAGTGGCCGAGGAAGGTTGGGGACAGAGGGACCCCAATGCTTCCGCGGCCACTGGGAGAATTCAGGCTACTCAAATGTATGAAAATGATGCAGTGGCCGCGGAAGGTTGGGGACAGAGGGGCAATGTCCCCACAGTTGTTCGAAGTCCCCATCATATGTCCAAACCCATCTCTCCCCTATCCTACAATGTTAATGTTCCTAGATGTCCCCAATGCTTCCGCGGCCACTGGGAGAATTCAGGCTACTCAAATGTATGAAAATGATGCAGTGGCCGCGGAAGGTTGGGGACAGAGGGACAATGTCCCCACGCTTGTTCGAAGTCCGCATCATCTGCCCATGTTATATAAACTCTTCCCTCCCGTTATCCTACAATGTTAATGTCCCTACAGCTTCCGCGGCCACTGGACACGTGTAAGACTGCTACGGACGGTTGAATAACAAGCTCAAAATCTTAAAATTGATGATAAATCCGTGCTTATTTGAACATTTATTTGGCAGCCTTTGGCCACAGTCGGCTAAACTATTTTGAAGAGGAGCAAGATGACAAAGACAGTTTTGAAGAAGAAATTCACCCAAGAAATGACAAAGGAGAATCCTCTTCGCTTTCCTGCTTTCCATCAAATCCTTGTGGACCCAACAGGTGAAATCAATCGAAAATGTTCTCATCGTTGCGCTACAGCTCATAAATTTGCCCAAAGTTCTTTGTCGCATTATTATTATGCTTTGATCTTCGTCGGTTTTTGATCGCATCTAGAACGAACTTGGAGATACATATTTTGTGTTAAAATGACATTTATGTCAGTCACTAGCAGACGAATGAGAATGGTGGTCTCCCAGCGTATGCTCTCCGATTTGGAGCAAACTAATGTCAATTGAGGACAAATTTAATTAGGATGAAATTTGTAAAAGACACGATCTCCCAATGGGCACGTCTGGCAGAGATATTTGCATCCGAAGAGGAGAAATCACGCCCTAAAATTGAAAAACCACTCTCTCTTCAAGACATCTAACCAAATTTAATTTATTATTTTTCTTTGCCAGAATTTTTTTTGACTTTCAAACACTACAATTTTACACTCGGGTGCGTTTTCTCCTCTTGGGATGCAAATATCTCTGTCAAACGTGCCCATTGGGAGATCGTGTCTTTCGCAAATTTCATACTAATCAAATTTGCAATCGATTGACACTAATTTGCTCAAAATCGAAGAGCATACGCTGAGAGACCTCCATTGTAAATAGGAGAAGCAGCGATTTTAAAGGAGGTTTTATTTAGTATTTTATCTTATTCTACATTTTCTTCTTCTTCTTTCTTCCAGCGTATGCAAAACAACTCCAGGAAACGCTCCAATCCAGAAATGCTCCTGCCGTGTAGGATTCATGGGTAAGTAAGAAAGATTTCACGAAAGGGTAACATGTTCAGAATTTAATTACTAAACGGCACGTGCTACTGTACTTTTATTTATGGATAAGGTCGTCCTCCCAACTGTCGACCGGAATGCATTCTCGATATGGATTGTCCCGCCGAGATGGAATGTTCCGGACAGCGATGCAGCAATCCGTGCAGTTTGAACCGTTGCGGACAAGGGGCGAGATGCAGGGTGGTGAATCATCGGGCTAAATGTTCCTGTCCTCCCGGGCATATCGGGAATCCGGAAAGGAATGGGAAATGCGGGAGGTCAAGGGGTCCTTCCCTGCAGTACTTTCCCGTAGAGTATGAAGCCATGAGGGAAAGTGGGGAGAAATTTGGGGGGTTTGTTTCCGGGGGGAGTCATGAGTTTGGTGGAACTACGTCTGAATCGGAAGAGTCGAATGAAAATTCGGTGGCGGAAGTGTTTGTCCAGAATCAGGACCAATTTCCATGCGATCCGTGGCCATGTGGGCCAAATAGGTGAGGGACACGATGTAAAAAATGTCTCAAAACTTTTTGCATAATTTGCATAATGTTTCGAAAAATTCTTATGTAACTGATCCGTTATTTTTATGTTTGTTATAATTTACGCCAATATTTTTGCATGTTGTTTTCATCTTTTGCATGATGCAAATCTTAATCCGTACGATGTATCAAAAAAATCTTATGCAAGTTGATTGCATAATGCAACTGATGCGTTATTTTTGCGTTTTTCACAAGTTATGACGTGATTTTTGCATGATTTGTTTGCATGATTTTTTTTGCATGTTTTGCATGATGCAAATCTATATAGTTCCGATATCTCGTAAAAATTCTTATGCAACTGATGCGTTATAGATTATTCTTATTTTCTGTTTTTGACAGTCAATGCAAACCAGTCGGTGCCGATGCCCACTGCTACTGTTCGAAAGGCTACATTGGAACACCGGTGGGTACATACACGTAATATTTATTCAAATTAGAAACCATTTAAAACCGTTCGAGTGAAAGATATTGCAAGAATATTGAGACTTCTCACATTTCCCCGAACAAATAACTTACACCGTGCCCGACATTTATTCTCCATTTCATGCCAAACTTTCTCCGACGTGATCTTGTACCGTGGCCGCGGAAGCTGTGGGGACATGAGGGGACATTAATATTGTAAAATAGGGGAGGGAGGAATTTAGTTTATAACATGGGCATATGATGCGGACATCGAACAACCATGGGGACATTGTCCCTCTGTCCCCCACCCTTCCGCGGCCAGTGGTAAAATCTCTCCTAACACCTCAATTTATTTGATAGCCCCACTGCCGCCCGGAATGTTCCCAGGATTCCCACTGTCCCGATCATTTAACCTGCATCGAAACGAAATGCCGTGACCCGTGCGTATTTACCGAGGGCAAATGTGGCGTTCGAGCGTCCTGCCGAACCGTGGGACACAAACCGTCTTGCCGCTGTCTGAACGGGTTTTATGGCGACCCGTACGTCAAATGCCGACCGCAACGAGATGACCAAAATCCAGCAAACAGACCACCACAATTCCCAGATTCTCCGAGACCAATTGACTCAAATAATAATGGACCATTTCAACCAATCTCACGCCCACCACGACCTCCTCCACAACAAAATTACCCCGTAATGATGACCATGATGAAACCGGGTAATTACCCCATACCTGTTAACTTTCATTCATTTGATTGATTATGAGAATGAATTTCCTCCCATTTGATTGGAATGACTGAAAGATTCCGTCCTTTCAGATGAATGTGAAAGAAAGGATTTTTCACTCATTCATTCTTCGCCCTATGCTTAATACATGGGGCGAAGCAGAAATGAAGTGAAATGAAATGAAGTGAAGTGAAATGAAATTAAGCGAAATGAAATGAGTTTGAAAGAAACCGATATGAAAATCTTGTCTCAGAAATAGGAATGAATGACTTTTGAATTTTTGAACAGGTACAAATTACCCGGGTAGTAATTACCCTCAACCTTCACCCTGCACGAATTCACCCTGCGGGAAAAATGCGCTCTGTTCCTACCGAAATGAAACGGTAGGGTGCAAATGTCCCCCTCATTTGTCCGGATTTGGGTCAGATCCTTATCTTGAGTGTTATCCGAGGAGCAATCCATGCGAAATGTGTGGTCCGCACAGTCAGTGCGTGGTCGATGAGAGGGGAGGATCTCCGACGATTTGCACCTGTCTGGAGGGCAAGGTCGGGTCACCGCCCAACTGTCGGGATGGATTCTGTCAGAAGAATCGGGAATGTGGGGACAATCAGCATTGTTTCGGGGGGCGGTGTGATGATCCCTGCAAACGGGCGAACTGCGGGAGGAGCGCGGTCTGCCGGAGTATGCGACATTTGGCGGTGTGTGCTTGTCGAAATGCGCCCGACCGTGACCCGCTTACTGGGTGTCCGCCAAAAGTGAGGGATTATTATGATGATGGTGATAATAGTCGAGAGTATTACGTTTATCGAGGCACGTAGTATGAATTTTTTGTGAATATGTATGTGGCACAAATAAATAATAAAAATTTTTACGGTGTTAATTTAGCCCGAGTCGTAGTTTTTGCCAGATGGCGATGACCAAAGTTTCGCCATTGTTCCCGTTTATCCGGCATGTGCTAAATGGCTATAAACTTACTTCACCTTTCACAAATTTCACATTTTTTGACAAATTTCAAAAAGCGGTGTGCAAGTGGGATTACAATGTGTCATTTCATTTGCATATTACATATGAGGCATGGAGTGACCGTAGGTATCGTCAAAGATGCAAATGAGGTTACATGCACAAATAATTCCGCGTTTGTTGGGCCCCCGTCTCAAAAATTTTCTCAAATTTGACTGCGGACGGACGCACGGACATGACGACGTTCCCATAAGCCCTGAGACGACAGAATTCGTCTCACTTTTCTATTGAAGAGCATACATCATCTCATGCCCCCGCCTGCATACTTATTTATGACGAATCATAACCATGCCGATCGTATCGTGAGGGGTTACGTAAAGTAAAACTCGACATAATTTTATCATCTTGAACAGGACACTTGACATTGATTCTGAGCTGGAAACAAGGTTAAATCATGGCATGATCAACTTTGGCATTTTCTTTTTCGGGGGAAACATCTGTACATATCTAATTCTATGCGTCTGACTCACGTAAGTAATCTGACTGAGCAATCTTGTGTACGTGTGAGGTCAGTGGCCGCAGAACAGAGGGACAATGTCCCCACGGTTGTTCGATGTCCCCATCATCTCCCCACGTTATACAAACCCCTCCTTCCCCTATTCTACAATGTTAATATGCCCACGTGTCCCCACTGCTTCCGCGGCCACTGTGTGTGAAGTGATCATGCAGTCTGGTCGGGTCGTCGTCGATATGACCAAACCAAACCGCAATCCAGACCGAAAAACTACAGATCAGAGATTATTCCAGATTTCCAACTTGCGTCATTTATACTTTTGTCAGATGTCAAAAATAAGCTTTTAAGCAATGTGCTTGACGCGATTTGTGATCTCGAAATGTGGTCGATTTCTGAGAATTGTTTGGTACAAATATTTTCACTCAGATTTCGTCAAGATGTTGAATAACCGATCCGTTACGTACGCTACTCGTCTCAAATGATTGGAGAATTGAGACTCTCAATTCTCAAGTTGCCTCAAATTTTTGAAGAATTGTATACACGGGGGCGAATTTCGTGTAACTTGTTTGTTAGGTTCCTGTCTTAAAAACACCCCAAAATTTGAATAATCATAGACCGAACTGACGAATGGACCGTCCTGCATTTATGGGGAAATGTGTACATGCCGATTTGTGATCTCGAAATGTAGATGAATTTCTGGAAATTTTTTGGTACAAATATTTTCACTCAGATTTCGTCAAGATTTTGTTGAATAACCGATGCATTAAGTTATTTTGGAGTCATCTCAAATAGTTTGAAACTCTAAATTCTCACGTTGCCTCACCTTGAAGAATTATACTTACGGTGACGAATTTATCACTAATTTAATTTCGAAAAGCAGTGTGTGTAACTTGTCTGCCTTAAAAGTACTCCCAAATTTGCCTCGCAAACCGGACTGGACAGGCGGACGGACATGACGACGGTTTTATAAGCCCAGCCCTGCATATTTATTTATGGTGGACATGCAGATTTGTGATGTGATCTGGAAATTCTGCCGATTTCTAGGAATTGCTTGGTACAAATATTTTCACTCAAGTTTCATCAAGATGTTGAATAAGTGATGGGTTACGTCTCAATTCTCAAGTTGCCTCATCTCATGACGAATTTTTCGCTATTTTGATTTTGAAAAGCAGTGTCTTATTTGTTGGGTCCCTGTATCAAAATTATTCCCCAATTTACCTGACCGCACAGACGGACGGACATGACGACAGGAGCATCATCTCATGTCTCCTCCTGCATACTTATTTATTATGAAATGTAGACATGCTACTAGAAATGTAGCCAATTTTTTGCAATTTTTTGGCATTTTCACTCAACTTTCCTAAGATGTTGAATAGCTGATGCACAAGTACAACATTACTTTTTTGTCTCAATTCTCATGTTGCCTCTTCATTACATTACTTTTTCAATTCTCATGTTGCCTCATCTCACTCAAAGAATCGTACTGTGACATCTCAACACGCCCCCGGCCGAGAGACTAAACTCTGCCCGAGGCAGGGTGAGGCTACAGCGGAAGGTAAAAGGTAGAAGGAGGATTCAAGTCAAAATAATTCACAGATTTTCAGAAATTCAATTCTTCCAAGATTAAAATTATTATTTAAACTTAAAGTGCATTTAAATTTTTAAAATATGGGTGCGACAGCCCTTCCCATTCTATTCTTCACCATTTTGTGGGGTGTGGTTGGTATCGTGCTCCCATTTTTCGTTCCAAAAGGCCCAAACCGAGGGTGAGTCATAAAATATTTGGAAATTATAATTTTAATTAGAAATTTGCAAAACCACTAATTTCGAGGAATTATTTGATTTAATTAATTGCTTCCTTTAAATTATAGAGTGGTCCAAGTTGTCTTGATGTTGACGGGAGCGTGCTGTTGGTTATTGTAAGTGATTTTCGAAAATATGAACAGTTTTGAATAATTTAATACGTAATTAATTATGATTTGGTCTAAAATTACAGTTGGTTATGCTGCTATATGTGTCAAATGAATCCATTAATCGGTCCTATTATAAAGAGAGATGTGGCCCTCGTAATGCAGCAGGAATGGGTAAGAACATTGTCACTAAATTACACATTTTTCAGGTAATACGACACTAATTTCGTCGTTTTTTCCGTTTCAGGGGACCGGACCTATCGTCACACCTGGAGCATAAATCCTCATCAATCAGAATCGTCATGATCATTATCAATTAATTTTCGGTAGAGAGTAGACTTTGACATATTTTCCGTGCAGTTATGATCTTCTTGATACAACAAAGCATTCCAGTCTGTAGTAAGCAATTAAATAAGTAAAGGATTTTGTTGTGCAATTCAGTCATTACATTTTATTATGTGTAGAATAGAACGTGTAATATATAAAAGTATGAAATAATAAATGTAAGGCAGTAACTAACTACCTCGTCAATTAAGGATTAATTGTTCTGGTAACTATTTCACCTTTGCATGCCCACCTGCATAACCGCCGAGCAGGACGTGCTGAATCCACAAGCATGGCGACATTTCGTGCTCAATCATGTTCTGCTGCACTTTTGCTTGGGTGGTGTAACTTTCTAAAATTGAGGCTTGAATTTGCTTGAGCAAGGTTCGAGTCAATTTTCCAGTACGATGGAATTCCTCTTGGAAATTGGCGATGGGAAGGAGCTCGTCCAGTTTTGGGATGTCGTAATATTGTTTCATAGATCCTGCAATTGCAATAGAATAGAAAGATCATGCAGTATTCTGGCAATGGAGGTCTTCCAGAGTATCCCCCCGATTTTGAGCAAACTAGTGTCAATTTAATTAATATGAAATTTGAAAATGATGTGATCTCCCAATGGTCACATTAATGGAAATATAATGGAAACAATGGAAATATTTGCATCAAAAGAGGAGAAAACGCACAGTAAATTTGGAAAGTGTAAAATTTGCCAAACTTTACTGCGTGCTTTCTCCTCTTGGGATGCAAATATCTCTGCCAAATGTGCCCATTGGGAGATTGCGTCTTATTATTGCTAACTAAATTTCTGATCTATTGACACTGTCAAAATCGGAGGACATACGCTGGGAGACCTCCATTATGAGTGAAAGTTAGGAAAATAGATGTCAAGCAAGCGATACAATGTTGATTTCATGTTTCGAAATAATGGTGAATTTATGAATACTCAAATCTTTAAGATTTCATGTAATATTCAATGTTTATTGTCAAAAGCCAAAAAAAGTAAGTATTAAGTATTATCATGGCTATAAAACATTTCCAGTAACAAAAGTATACTCTAAAATGAGAATCCAACTCATTAATAATAATCAGTTCAACGAGTAAATAAATTTCTTCAAAAAATAATCAGTAGTTCATCAGTCAAGTAGAAAAAGTATTATGGCAGTAATTATAAAGAAAAAATGGTAACATGTGTATTGCAACCGGAAATTAATGCATTTTTAAGTAGTTGATTGAATGGATGCATATTTGAATCATGAGAAAAAAAGTAACGTTTGCATCATTTACTTTCTGCCGACGCGTCACTTTCCATTTTTGCAAGAACGTCGAAAATTAGTCCGTTCAAATGCTTCTCATCATCAACCCAAAGAACTCCCTTGTAAGACTGGGCATCACTCACGACGAGTGGTTCGAGCTGGAAAAAAATAACGGAATGTCTCAATTTACATGACCGCATAAAATTATAAATCTGATAAACTAACCAATTGCAGTATCATCTCATTTTCGAACAAGTCGTTCAACTTCTTCCCGATTTTCACCTTCTTTTTCGGAGTTGCAACTCCTTCAAGGACCAAAGTTGTGCTGAAAATCGGATCCTGTAAATCATAATAAATGTTACACATTGATTGACATCATTATTTCTATTATTCTACAAAGGAATAGGTTAATCACCTCCAGTAGGTACTCAGAAATCGGGTACATTTCAGTGTATGGCATTTCTTGTGCATCCCCAAAGTCCACAAAGACGACCTTGTACTTATCTCCATTAATCTTTGTCACACGGCCTCGGTAGTACTCGCCGTTGTATTCTCCAAGGACCATCTCGTCAATGACTGGTGGGCGAGACAATTTTGGGACTGTGGAATAATTGTACAAAATTAGTCAGTTTTTTTGAAATCTGATAAATTTTAATAAATACATAAACAAATGCATGTGTACCTAGTTTCAGATGCATGCCAACCTTATCTTGCAAAGTATTCAACCGATTTTCGTCCGCGGAAGCAACAACCTGCAGCTTGTTAACGTTCCACATAAAGCTCATCTTAACCGGTGCACCTTCAACCAAGCTGTCAGAGTATTTGCATGATTGCCACATGATTCGAGGGACCTCGGGTTCTTTAGCAGCCACCTTCTTCACGAATTGTGGAGGAGTACTAGCAGCAGCAGCTTGAACTTGAGGTTCTGCTTGGACCTTAAGCTGAGTGGGTGGTTGATCTTGTTCCACTCTTTTGGGACGTGGTGGAGGGTTGCGTTGCTCATCAAGTTCTCGAGCTTGTCGTTTGTCCTCAACTTCTCGTGCTTGTCGTTTGTCCCCAACTTCTCGTGCTTGTCGTTTGTCCTCAACTTCTCGTGCTTGTCGTTCTTCATCTCCTGATATCTTTGGCTTCTCTGAATCCAACGCACCCGGCATTTTCTTGAAAAATGGATTGACTGGTTTTGTCTTCCTAATGCTTGCGGCAGCAATCATGTCGGGATTCGGGGCCGGAGCAGCAATGGGAGCCGGAACTGGTGGTGAAAGTGCACTTGGGCGTTCTTCCTCTGTCGCCATGCGAGGCGCTTTCTTATCCACTGTATCATACGAATTCGGACGAGATCTTTCTTCATGCTTGGCAATCGTAGATACATTCCTGTACGATGGTTCGTCCGGTCTCTTTGGAGGAGCAAATTCTGGCACACGTGGAGAAGGAGGAGGAGCTCGTGTCTCTGCAATGTTTCTCTTTGCAGGATGTTGGACTTCTTGAGGTCCATTGAGGGGAGAAGGAACGACATTCCGATTCCCAAAATCCCTGCTAACACAATTTAATGTTCATTTAAATGAAGAAAATCAACACTATTACTTTAATTAAGCAAGTGTCGTCACCTTGCTTTATTCGGAGAGCTGTCCAATGGCTTTTCATCTCTTTGCCTTTCTTTGTACACATTCCCTGCAGGGGGAGTTCTAGTGGACGGAGGAATTGGGGTGGAGGCAGTAGATCCAGTGCTGCAGTAATTATAACAATACTTAGATAATCTCATATAAGAAAGTTGCATATTAATGTATAGTAAATTGTTTCGTACAGAGCAGGTCTTACAAACCCATTGGCACCTTGTCCATGTCCATCCCTCTCGATGCATGCCGACGTGCAAAAAAAGTACCCAGTAACTCGATGCTGAAATCCCATCAACTGGTTACAGCAATGACAATCGATGGGTTTAAACTCTCGGAAGAACGATGTAATCTGTAATAAAAAGATCATTAGTAAATTATCAAATGTCAACGAATGTCAACGAATTTAATGAAAATGTGCCAATAAAACTTACTTCAGAAGCTGGAGGAACAACGCCGGCAGTAGCGGGGTCTTGAATTTTCGAAAGCACCATCCCTGAGCTGTGACGAGCAGGAACAGCACCACTGGGTCTAGCGGATAATCTAACAAGCAATTTATTACTAATTATTTTATTAGATTATAGAGAACAGCTAAATAAACTTGAACCCAGCTCAAATATAAAAAAACAATAGCAAATCATAGCTTGGCATGAAACAAACCTTTTTTACCTGTTTTCTTTGTAGGATGGGAATGGGAAATAAGCAGCTTCAAATTAAATGGCAAATAAATTTGCAATGCAGTACACTAAAGCTTTATCATTCATTCCAAATTTTAAAGAATTTGCAAGAAACTCTAAACTTTTCTTTCACTCGGTAAACAGAATTTTTAAGCAAATGAAAGCATCACATATTTTCAATCCTCATACCCAGACGGACAATCTGACTGATAACCATCGCCACCACCACCAGTATGGTTTCGAGAGGACATTGGCACCCCTCGTCTTGAAGAAGAATCTCGCGTCATGTCTTGGTCGGGAGAGTCAAATTTATTATTCGCAAATCGCGAATCGTCACGGAATGCAGGAGGACGAGGGACAGATTTATTTGACGGAAAACTAACCGGAATATTACGATCATTGGAAAAATTTATGCTAAAAGGAGATTGCGGACCAGAGTTCGATTCATTCATTTGGGAAGGAATGTTGTTGAAATTATTGCTATGATTGGGATTGGAATTTAAGGCAGGATTTGAATAATTTGGAGAATTATCACTTCTAGAAATGTCTCTATCACCACCGCCACCACCACCTCTCCCATTTTGGAATCGATTTCGATCATAGTTTGAATTTCTATTTTTATTATTATGATTATCAAAACGCCGATTTTGATGCTGCGGTCTATGATAACTTTGAGAAGGTGGAGTATTATTGAAGGAAGAAGAAGAATATTGCTTAGTATATGAGGGAGGTTTGTAAAAGAGCGCCTTTTGTTCGGCCGTATCCTGCTTATCAGTGTTAAAGTCACCGGTTTTGTCAACGTCATAGTCAATTTCATGTCCGACTGATGGATCCCCACCACCCTGGGGGGATCGAAACCCACTACCGCGCCCATGTCCACGACCACGACCACCAGGTTGTGGAAAGGTTCGGGAAGACGACCCTTCCATCACTTTGAATAACCAGAATATAACATTGTAAAGACATGCAAATTAACACAAATTGTGTGACACAACAGTTGACATTTACCACCACCAAGTCATCATGCAGGCCCGTTCAACAAGAAAACGTTCAGAAATAAAATAAAAACGACAATAAAACGTTCTAAAATACGTAAAATTAAAACAAGAAACTGGTCTCTTTGATGCCTTCCCTAAATAATGTGTCACCATTTCGGATTATCTTCCATTAACTAATAATTAATTAGCAGACTTAATTAATTAATTAATTAAGACTTACCTTATCTTCAGCGACTTTTCTTCTCGAAAATATTCCGCAGCGAGGAGCGAACGAATCGACGACGCGAGCAGGACGAGAACCAAAGTTGGACTGGGCTCGAGTCGTACGCGGCTTTTCTCGCTTTGCACACTCGCCGGCTGAACAAAGAAACTGTGGTGCGTCGCTAATTTGCATACTGATTTACTTTAAATATTTAAATATCAATGTCTGGACTGGAGTTTAGGTGGCTGGCTACGTGCAACTTGAGTTGAGTAAATTATAAACATTTGAGGACATTTAAAAATAATTAATTAATTCGCAAAATAGGATATCAGATTAATTAATTTGCTATTTTATCATAAAAATTATCCAAAGTGTTAATTGAACCATAAACTAAATAGCTCATTTTTCCATTATGATGGAGTCAATTTCTCCAGTAATTAAACGGAACAAGTAGAAATTTAAGCTGTTAAATCAGACTTTGAATTGAAAAGTGAGAAAAATAGGTCAAAATTGAAAACGTATCTAATTAGTTATTTGTGGCTCGTGGTCGGCACGTCATAGTGACGGCGGAAGCGTGGGGACAGTGACCTGAATTTCTGGGGGACAATGTCCCCCCTGTCCCCCGTCTCTGATGGCTTGTTTATTAGTTTACTACTCTCTGTTTGGGATTGTGCACATTTGAAAATAATTCTAGCATCATTCGAACTCACAATTTTAATTATGAATTTGATATTTGAACAGATATTTGACATTAAACAGTTTAATTTAAACTGATCCGGTCTGGCCAGCTTTAACTATTTAAGAACCCCAACGTGGAAACTACACTAGCTCTAACAACCAAAGGTTCTATCCCACACCTTTGGAAGGCCCTAGCTTTATCACCCTGTGACCGAAATTCCGGTAAAAATGTAAGTAATAATAAAAATAAAGGAAAAATCCAAAACCGATAGCAGATAAACAAGCCACATTTTTTGCCCATCACAATTCTAACTTCCGTGCAAATAAACAAAACTCCATCGAATTTCAACCATGGTTTGCAGTTGAAGTAGGGGGGGGGGGCATTGGCATTGTGGGGTTGGAGGAGGAGGGGCGAGATACGATTTCGCTGAATTTCTGGGGGGAAAATGTCACTGATGGCTTGTTAGTTGACTGTTATCTGTTTGGGATTGTGCATATTTGAAAATAATGCTAGCATTCGAATTTCGAACTCACAATTTTATTAATTATGAATTTGAAATTTGAGCAGAATGGCATTAAACTGATCCGGTCTGGCTAGCTTTAACTATTTAAGAATCCCAACGTGGAAGCTACACAAGCTCTTAACAACCAATGGTCCTATCCTACACCTTCGGGAGGTCCTCTAGCCCTGTCGCCCTGTGACCTAAATTCCGGTATAAATGTAAGTAATAATAAAAATATTGGAAAAATCCCAAACAGAGAGCAGATACCCAAGCCAAATTTTTTACCCATCACAATTCTAACATGCAAAAGTCGGAAAAAGTAAAAATGTATGCAAACAATCAGTGCCCGCGGAAGTGTGGGGAGACAGAGGGACAATGTCCCCTCCCCAAGGTTATTCGATGTCCCCATCATCTGTCTCTGTTGTATAAACCCTTCCCTGCCCTATCCTGCATTGTTAATGTCCCCACAGCTTCTGCTGCTTCTGCAAACATTGTCAAATTGTTGGAACCCATTCCAAGCGCGGATTTAATGTTTATCAATGATAAATTATCATCGCCGCGTTGAAGTCAAGTCAACTAATCCAACCAAAGGATAAGAAACTGGTCAAAGTGTTGATCAATGATGAGAGATAAGCGCAAAGGTAATAACACAAAGCTATCGGAAAAATTGTGCATTTTGCTCGCACTATGTAAATGAACCTTTAAAAATGTAAATTTATAAGGAAATCATTTAATCATGAAATTTGTTTGATTTTCTCTTTACTAATTTTAATTAGTGGGAACTTTAGCAGAAAATCATACATAAATCGAGTCATGCCATGGATGTGAAGCCCCAAATTCGTAATACAAATCTCATTGTCCTGCTTTTTCATGTATATTTAGACTTTAAAACTGTCCTTGTTTGTACCCTTCTTTAGCCCGACTTTCACCGAGTATAATAGCGGAATTCTCCACGTATGTACATTGTTTACCACATCCATGTGTCTGTTTTTACCGTAAATTGCGTGTGTGTATTAGTTTTTTACCTATTTTTGCAAGCCGATAGTTTTTACATGATATTTCAAGTAAAGTCTTGGAAAAAATGGAGGACACCAGTCAGAAAATTGAAGAATCTTGTTCTTGTTCGTCACCACCTAGTCACCAATTTCCTGTTGAATCCGTTCTACTAAATCCTCTTGTAAGTGTAACACATGCATGCAAATAATTCCCTACCTTTATATCTGCATACATACAATTTAAATTATTAATAGATACAAATTTTAGAGTAGAAATTTGTAAAAATGCATGTTACACGTCAACGCCAACAAGAAAAATATTATTCCTAAGTAGACATATTTACAATTATAAATCAGCATAAAATATTAATCTGTAAACCAAATTTTTCAGTGTTAATTTTTTTGCAATTATTTCAGCTGCTTGGAACTATTCTCGGAAAATTGGACCTCGACTGCCTTCTCACTGCTCGACTCGTTTCCACCACGTGGGCGAAAGAAGGGTTAAAATTGTTGCGAAAATTCGACCTTATGTTCCGCCTTCAACCGCAACATTTTGAGGATTCTACATCAACATTGGCGCAGTTGGAGTCACTCGTTACGGGTGGACGACTCAGTCACACCCTTCTCTTGTCCTTCCAAACCTGCTCCTGGCGGTACTTGGGACCGCATTTTAATTTGTTCCACCACATGGAATTTGATTCGCCCGAGTACCAAGCTTATAACAAATTTGTACTCGCCGAACATGAAGCGTTCCACAGCCTTTGCGTGGCCTCCGCCATGAATTGCGTCGCTATAAATACACTCTTCAAAATTGGACGTTTTGTAACCGAGCTAAGACTTGAAATGAGCCTGGAAAATGAGAAGGATGCCGCCTATGTCGTCCAAATTCTAATAGCCCTGCCTAAACTTAAGATTTGTTCGTTGGATTTCATCGCATTTTCAAATCAAGGATTCAAAGCTTTGTCGTCGTTGGGCAAAGGGTTATCGAGTCAGGTGTCCGTGCTGGGAATACGCTTGGGATTGGTATGTATGTAATTGAAACGGGTTGTGGTAAATCGTCGACGGATGTTTGGGTAACTCGTAGCCAGATAGGTAGCCAAAACAGAGCAATTAGTTGACGCACAGTTAACTAAAGATTCACAGAACACACCGAGTTATCCATCCAAGATTTACCCGGCCGTAACCCATTGAAACCGATTGAGTTCAAAGCAAATGACTATTTAGACTTTCGCCAATTTCAGAAATATCGGAACCACGAGGTACTAAGTCAAATCGGGGCTAAGCATCTTATGAGCACATTTTCCCGGTCCAATATTGAAACCCTTGACCTAACCGGATGGGAACAATATGGGCGAGTGAACCAGGATTTTAAAGCTTCTGGGTCGTATTTAGTAGAAGCTATTGCTTCTCTCATTCATGATGACGCCACAAATTTTGCCCGGTTAAGTAATTTCCCCGCAGCCTGACAAGACTCCATCTCTTCGTCTACAGTAATCTTGGGGGGCAGGGTGTCCACAAATTTCATCATTTATACCCCATTTTAGAGCAGCATAGTGCCACCCTAAAAAATCTGATCTTGTGGTGGGTCGAACGTAGCAAACCGTATGAATGGTACACACCCATTTCACTCCCACAGCTACGGGTTCTTACGTCTTTGGAATACTGTTTTTATTGTTACTCCGAGGGATTTATTTCCTGTCCCGTACCAGGGGAGAATTTGGACAAAAGAAGTCTCTGGGACGTGATGTGTCTCAGAAAGATTTTCATGGTAGGTATAATAAACAGGAAGGGTCCTCAACAAGTAGTGTTTAGGATGCAAGTAAAGTAACCACTTGCAAGAAATACCACGAAAGTGGTTTCTTTCAGCTATTTTGACCTGCAAGAAATGCAAGGCGCAAGAACCTACGCCCCGCCGTTATACTTCATACCGCGCGTGGCGAAATGGCACATATTTTTTGCATTTTCTCCCAGTGTCTTGCACCCCGCATTTCTTGCATTTTCTCGCTTTGCAGTGCAACCCCACGAGAAACGAAACACTGAATAAGTGAAGTAAACTGAAATTTTTCTAAAAATACAAGTTTCCGGGAATTCAATAAATATAATCTTATCCATAATCCATCTTAGCCACATGCATCTCATGTCCTTCCTTCGCATTACTTGTTGAGGATCCCTCGTAATATTGAATTAACCGTTGAATTGACCAAAGTGTAATTAATGCATAAGGGAACATTTTTTAATGCAGGGTACCCTTCGCCACACTCTTCCTTGTCTTACCAACCTGAGTGTTTTCCTATTTTACATTGGACGATCCGACGATACAGAAATTTGGGATTACATTTTTCCCCTTCTGGACGCCGACGGAAACGGCCCTTTAGTTCACGAGCAGCTCAAAGTGCTCAACATTTCGTTGGTGGCGGAATGCAACTCGACCATGCTGAATCGACTGGGGACAACAACCTTCCCCAGACTGGAGACACTTCGACACGTAAAATTTAAAGATGAATCGTCACGTTACGTGACAGATTGTGCTCATCGCTTCGACGACCGACGCCAAGAAGGGCAGCGTTCATGGACGTGTTCGTCTTCTTCTAAAAACAAACCATCGTCCAGTATGAACGGAGTGCTTTGGGATGAATTGGAGCCCGACATTGAAGAAAGTATAGGTGGATATGCTTTCCCCATAAGCCACCTTTTAAGAGGGGATGATATAAATCCTCTAACTGTACTGTCGTATTAAATTTAGAAGGCAAAAATCACATGGACATTCGAAACCTGCAGGTTATCGAAAAATTGTTGAAATATGTACGAACAAAGACCAAAATATGTACGAAAAAAATGATAAGAATTTTCGAAAAATTTGTAATTTAAATTTAATACGCTATATACATTTTTTGGGGGGTCTAATTTCTTTGAGGAGACGAAGTTCGTTGAAATATTTACGAAATGTATGTATTTTGGGGAACATATTTATGTATGTATTTTTCAAATAATAGTGGAAATATTTATACGTATGATAACCTAGAAATAGCAATATGTAAAAAAAATTTGATATTTTTGTAATCTATACTAAAGATAAGTAAAAGTTAATGAATGCAGTGATGCACGTACAAAGTTTGACTTGAAAAAGTTGAAAATAAATGCTTGTCAAGCCTTTACTAAATCAATTCTCCATTAAAATAATTTAATTTTAATGTTTAATATCTAATACAAAATGGTTCTTCTAGTTAATGTTGCATATTCAGTGTAAAATTTTTCACATTCACGTGCCTACTCATAGTATACCTGGTACGCATTATATTTGCAAAATCACTTAACACAATAATTTTAGTTTTATAATTTTACTAGAAAAGTCCAGCTTGTAATTGTTGGACGACATCCAAACTGCGAATTCTGGCCATGTTTCGATCAATTGATTGAAACGTCACGGCCAAATCTTCAGCTCCGGGAGGCGTTTTTACCGTCACTTTGTAGACGAGCTAAAAATCGATGTTTAAATTATTAAATTAAGGAATAAGTTATTTATATAATTGAATAAGTTAATTAACTACTCTGATAAACTCCAAAAAATCGATTGATCCTGAACCATCGTCAATCGTGGCAAAGTATTTTTTCCTCGTTTCGATGGATGTAATGTCCCCAAATTCTTCCAGCGTGGTACAACTTAAATTTTTAGGAATTATAAAAATCAGTACGATAAAAGCGACTTGTTTAAAATTGTTAACTTACAACTCTTCAAAGTCCAGCAATCCGTCCCCCGTGATGTCAAAGACTTGAAAAGTTGACCGCAACCTATCGACCATGACATCATTCCATTCGGGAAACTGCTTCAGGTCGACTTTGACCGTGTGGTAGTTGTCCTTCGCGGCCTTGGATTCTTTCCGGTATCGAATAATGGCTTCGAACAAGGCTTGCGTGGCTTTCTCGTAGTTGACGGCAATCTCCACTTGTTCCGAGGAGGGGGACATTTCAGCCTCGTCGTCATTCGTCGGTTCTGGTCGCAGGTTTCCTGTGAAAAGGTCAAAAATATTATTTCCTGGCATTTATCTCATCCCTGCAAATTATCAAGTGGGGCTTATTGTGATATTTTTGTCCGTCCGTCCTTCCGATAAATAGGATATCTCCAGAACACCTCAAAATAATTAAATGCCGTTATCGCCTTTGTCCTTCTAATTTTGAGTTCTCCATTAAGTTCGATAATGAGGTCAATCGGAACACCGCGGAGGGGTGTGGTCCAAAATTAAATTTAGCCTTCATTTTCATATGGGGTCATTTTAAAGGAAATTTCACCACGAAATCAAAGCCATCAATATTTTTGACCTCGGACCAACCCACGACCGTGACGACGAGGTCAAAGGTCATAACTCACGTAATTTTCATGGAGTCATTTTAAATTATACTGTACGCCACCACTTTTGTATGTTTCTTTGAGACATGTTATTTACCCGAGGGGTCGAAACGGTCATCCTCATCGAAGTAAATCGCGGCCGAGGAGAGCATGGGGAAGGTGGTGAGACGCTTCAGGAGACGCACAGCTCCGCCCAAAATGCTATGAATGGTAATCTTTTGATACCATTTGAGGGGTCGCGTCGTTTCGCGGGATGCTCGCAGATTTTGTGTCATGTGATTTGAAGGGGTGGAAGCAGCCCTCCGCAGAGTGGGGTCGTGGTCCCAAGGGCCCTCGGTGAGGGGGGAGTTTGCAAAAGAAGCCCAAGTGCCGTCCTTGTTGGTCAGAATCTGACCCGAGATGCCATGATGATGATGGTCAAGTTTTTGCGAAAATGGTAAAGTTTTTGCGTGCAAAATGAAATCAAATTCGCTAAATGATCCAAATTTGCACATAAATTTATTTTGACTTCCTTGACAATCAATTTCTGAAATTTTTAAAAGATTAATTACTCTACGCACGTTTTATTTAGCATCGCAACTCATTTTGCAAAGCTTGCGAATCTCAAAGAACTGTGTCCGGAGGGGATTCGCAAAAAATTTCGCAAATCTGCACAAAAAGTTCTGTTATATTCTATTTTAATTTGTTTTTTATGGAGTATTTGCAATTTCTAAAGCATTTAATAAAGATGATGAATTTGTAAAATGCTATAAAACCATGCACAATTGTGGTTTTGCAAACTAAAACTTCATTTGTTTCCTTTGCAAAACTTTTTCGAAATCTCCGAAATTTCGCAAAAATTCGAGATTAGTTATGCTGCTATGCTCAATTTAAGATACATACATGTGAAGGTTGAACGTCATACATAATAAAATTTTGTAATCAATAAATAAATAAACAAAGGAATGGGAAATATGAGACGATTTTTAGGAAAGGTTCTTTTTGAGGCAAAGTGAGACAAATGATTAGAATTATTTATGATAATTTTTCTTTCTCTTATCCAATTGAGTCTGGACCGGCATTGTTATTTTTGGGTTTCTTATCGGTTTTATAAATCGGGAACAGAAATCAAATTTCCATCACGATCGATTTTTTTATAGAAAAGATTGGCTAAAATTTAGACAAAAATTGAGTCAATTTCACGCCAAAAGTTGATTTGACAAACGGTTAATTTGATTTTTTATCATGGGTATAGTTGATGAACCTTACTCGATTAATAATGCACGATTAATAATATTTGTGCGTGCAAAACAATGGCTTTATTGAACAATTAAATTACTTAATTCGCACAAAACACGAAATTAAATTATGCTTGGTCGGGAACGTGGCTTGCAAATTTGACGATCGGTGGCTGTCCAGGAGAAGAACGGCTCAAAAACATACATACGATTGCATGTCTAAAACTAACTAAATATGCAAAATATACATAATAAAATTGTGTTTGTTTGCAAATATCCAGAGTAAAAACATTGATATGACTTTATTAAACTTTTTTTCGTAACAACACGATCGTTAGTAAATGTCTCACATTAATTAACTAAATACATATGCACGTCTCAAATCTAGGTATTTATATCTTATAAAGTTTATAATAATATAAACTAATATTCGCAATTATTTACTCGTCATCTCTCTTTTGATATTTTTTTCTTTTAGTCGTACATACATAAAAGCAGGGGCCGCGGAGGCTGTGGGGACATTAGCATTGTAGGATAGGGGAGGGAGGGGTTTATATAAGATGGGGAGATGATGGGGACATCGAACAACCGTGGGGACATTGTCCACACCCTTCCGCGGCCACTGGAGTCATACTTAAATACAATTATTACTTCAATTAAACAACAATATCAAACAAAGTATTAAATTTCTCAATATGTTTGTTTTTTGCTTTCACAGATTTAATTAATTTTGTAATTAATCGAGACTATTATAACAAGAGAGACTTTAAGATTTCCTCTTCACAATTTTATGTAAATGTCATTTTTTTATACAATTTCCGAACCTACAATCTAAACATTGAATTAATTAACTATTTTTATATATTTCTATTCATTTATTTACTTAAAAGTGGTGGACGAGACATGAGAGAAAGCACGTAAAGCTTTTTTATATAGACACTTATGTCAATTATTTCAGAAAGAAAACTTCGTATAAAACTTCTTACCCTAAATTTGGAAAAGTTTCTCTCACAGAAAAATTTTTGTGGGATACGCAATTCTAATTTACATAATTTAATGTTATTATTAATTAATTACAAATAGAGTATTAAGAGTTTAAATTTAATTAATTAATTACATACATATGAATTGTGCAGCTACTTATATATTTAAATAGCAGTTTAATTAATTATGTATATATGTAAATTAGTCATTAAAGATTACATCACATTTTGAAATTCCAATGATATCTTGTTTTTTACACAAAAAACGAAACGAATATTGCACAAAAAAGTGGAAAATACTGTTGATGCTAATATGTACTTATAATCATTACTTGATTACAGAAATTGGAGCAAATAATTTCACAACGGTGTTATATTTACATAAATAATAATTAAGAAATTAATCAATATTTTAATTATTATTAGTTAATTATTAGTGTTGGTGAAGAGGTGACATTTTACATGGAAAAAAATATTTTTCAATTTGCGACTTTTTACAGACGCTTTGAATATGACACGCTGAATGTTAAATGACTTTTGTTGACTTTTTTATGAATTTAGCTATTAATTAAATTTTAGGATTATTGTCTCTTTCTGAAAACACTGAAGAATGTCTGGAAGGGTTTTCAAGATCTTGTCGATTTAAATAATCTTATTTAGTTAATTAATACCTAATTAATTAATTAAATGGTTACGATGATTGAGTAACTTACACTTTAATATTTATAAACTAGATAAATGAGATGTATCAGTCTTGTCAAAATAGATGTTTTCCTTTAAACGGTAACTAACATTGTGGTTAATTTGTTAATTAACTATTTATGTTAATTATGTAAATGACTCGAGCAGCAGCCACGTGGACACATATTTATGTATGTATCTCTATTGTTTTACACTATTGTACAATATTTTTGCGAGAACGGACAAATGTAACGATCAATAATAAATAAATTATTCTTAAATATTCATAATTATATTATATGAATAATTAATGAGATGCTTTGAAGGTTGATATTTTTAAGTTGTAAAAAAGGCGAGGATTTAGAAGAATGACGCGAAGTATTTTTATGCATATTGGTCATATGCCAAGTACTCGAGGGCAGCTCGGTAACAGAATTCGTATTGATCCTGGAATATTAAAGGGGTAAAAAATTTGATTAGTTAGTTATTGTTTGATGGGGGTTCATGAATGACAGTGGCCGCGGAAGCGTGGGGACAGAGGGACAATGTCCCCACGGTTGTTCGATGTTCACATCATCTCCCCATCTTATATAAACCCCTCCTTCCCCTATCCGACAATGTTAATGTCCCCACGACTTCCGCGGCCACTGCTTCACGATATAATAAATGGTTGTTAATTTGTACCTCCGATTGGACCATGGCAGGCCGCTGTGTCCTTAATATTCTAACAGTCTGAAAAAAATAGGTGAATTTCAATTAAAATCAGTAGAAAATATATTTTTTCAAATTTTTTTTTAAATTTTTACCTGGAAGAGGTCGACAATATCTTCACTCTGAATTCTGGCGAGAACGATGCTCAACGTGATGAAGACTCCCGTTCTGCCGACGCCAGCGCTGCAATGCACCGTGATGGGACCCTCTTGACCAAACTGCTCCTTCGTTTTGTGCACTTGACCGATGAAATCGATAAAGCCTTCGGCCGATTTGGGGATACCTGAGGCAAAAATAAGACCACAAATTAGAATATTTTATCTCCTTTAAGTAATTTTGAAAATTTTCAAAATAAAATCAAGTAATTATTCCCGAAAAGTACAGAGCTATCTAAATATGTACCTTGTTCAGGCCATTCTGCAAACTGGAACTGCCTTATCGTCCTAGACTGCCCGTCCCTCGCGTCAGTTATCTTAAACTCTCTAAGTGTATATTGTGCTGGGGCGCCCATACCTGTCGAATTTATGAAAATAAGTTAAAATTTGAAATTAACGACGAGATTCTTCAAGGGTTGAAATGCCAACTTACAAAACTCTGCGATAGGATCCACAACAAAGCACGCGTAGCGTTGAGATCTGTCATTAGGCCAGTAATGACAACATTTTTCCTGTTGAGGGAAAATTTATTGGTATTATTTATCTCATCTCATTCATTCAAATTTCTTCATTTAAGGAATACATTCTTCCATTCATTATTGAATAAATTCATGAATAATTTTTTCCAACTTTTAAATTGAATGAATATTGAATGAAGAAATTTTTTAAAACATCTCATCTGTTCTAATTGAGAAATGAAATGTCTCACCTTTCCCATTTCTCTTAACTTGGTCAACATAACAATAATTGTACTGTTGTGCTCCCAGATCATTCGCCAAAAGTCGTCTACCGTTTCGGGGAGGGGTCCTTGCGTAGCGATATAAGCATTTCTGTCCATCCTGCCGTCAATTAAAATATATGCAAATATTAATTAACATTCTACCCGAATTTAAATAGAAAAGTAGAAAGCAAAAGTAGTAGAAAGCTAAGCAGGCCAAAATTTGAGCAGTGTTTCGGGTGAAAGAAACTGGCTTTTTGCAGCTATTTTTTCGACCTGCAAGAAATGCAGGTCGAAAGTCAAGGTCAAAAGTCAAGGCGCAGGTCAAGGCGCAAAAAACTGCACCCCGCCGCTATAAATTCTTCATACGGCACGTGGCTAGATGGCGCATATTTCTTGCACTTTCTCCCAGTTTCTTGTACCTCGCATTTCTTGCGTTTAAAGAAATGGAAGTAGCAAATCCCCAAGAAACGAAACACTGAATTTGTCTAACAAGCATAAAATCCAACACCGATCGCCCCTAACAAACCTGTCTTTATACCCGTCGACAAAAGACGCGTTGATGTAGTCCGAGCCCTCCACGCCTCGAATGGGTTGCAGACAAACACGGGTGTTTTCGAATGGAAGGATATTTACAAGGCGATTCTTCCTCTGTAAAAAGGTCATCCAAACAATAAGACAGAGGACCAAAGGCACTAAATTATACTAAAATTCGGATAAACTTACTATATTGATAGGTAAATTAGCACTTAAAAATCGACTGGGATCTATCTTCATATTGGAAAGTTTCTGAAAAAAGTGAAGCCAAACGTTAGTGAACTGAATGTCATCATTTTGGAATTTAAAAAATTTTCTTTACTTTAAATTCGATATCTAGTCCGGTATATGATTCTCCCGGATGTAGCGTCGTGAGCATGTCTAAATGAGCTTGAAGTTTATCGGCCGGAATTTCCGTGCACCTGAAGAACAAACCAAAATTAGTACAAAATGATCTACAAATAATCTGCATGCAAATTAACCTACCCGCAAATGATCGCTTCTACGATGGCGTCATGTATGAAAATGTATTGATCCTCTGTTTGAACCTGTTAAAAAATTAATTGATTTTGGTAAACACAATTTTCGGCACAATTTCTTTCTACTTTCACTACTTTCTTACCATGTAATTACGCTGAGCTCGGAGGCAAGTCACGTGCCCGTAGATATCGACAGTATTATCGTACTTCATTCTTTCCAACATGGAGTCAATGACTATGAAACAACCCGTACGACCCACGCCTAAAAAAATAAAATTAAATACGCCAAATTATTCCTTGGACATGTTTCATACGCATTTTTGTCGCAGTGGCAGCGGAAGTTGGAGGAGGGGACATATTGGGGCATTAACATTGTGGGATGACTTATTAACATGGACAAGATACAATTTTGCAGAATTTCTAGCGGGACAATGTCCCCCCTGTCCCCTTGCTTCAAATGCCAATGCTTTTTCCTGTAACCTACCAGCACTACAATGTACAATCATTGGGCCACAATCTGGCGGATTTAAGTACTTGACGCGACGAAGGAACATTAAAAATGGGGCGGGATGGTCGGGCACGCCATGATCTGAAATAATGCATGAATTTCATAAATACTTGTAGAAGTTTAGTTTGACGAACGGGAAATTTTGTTGATGAAATATTTACCTGGCCAAGCAGTAAATTGGAGCTGTTTTATCTCACGAGTTTGCTGCATACCGGGCTAAAAGTGGAAGAAAACGGGTTAAATTAGTTTGTAGACAACCAAAGTCAAGAAGAATAAGATATCAACTTACCGCCGTTTTACGAACGATAAAGCTTCGTATACAGTACGTTGCCAACTCTTGAACTTCACGTAACGTTACAGTGACCTCCCCGTACCTGTAATTAAAGCATAAATATTTTAATAAAGGTTCATAACGAACGTTGCAGTGGCGAATAATAAATTTCCATACGTTTCAGATCCTCTTGACGGCCAGTACTGGTCACATTTCACCCTCGCCCGTTCCTCCAATCTTGTCATCATCACAATCGATGCCGTATTCACCTCCCAGCACATTTTCCAAAAGTCAACAAAAGTTTCTGGAAGTGGTCCCTGCAGAAAAACAGATTTTTCGTTAAAAAATATGCAAAAATTTAATAACACAAAAATTCAAGATGCACCCACCTGAGTCGCGATATATGCATTATGTCTCCGATAACCATCACAGTAATCTGAAAAAATTACGAAAAATTAGTCATACAAAATACAAAGGTTTCTTAAACGTGAGATCTCCTCCTTCAAAATCTGGACTGAATATTTAAAAAAAACTTCGAAACTTTCTGTTCAACAAATTTGCCGTCCAGAATGTTCAAAATAAATTCCCAGAGGTGAGAAATGATTAAAAATGTGCTGATTTTGACGATACGTCATAGAGTCCAACATACGTTATTTATGTAAATTAACTAATTTTACACTCACTAGCGTTAATGTAATCCGATCCTGGCACGCCTTCCGTCGGTTGTAACACGACACGAGAATGATCATACGCCACTACATTGGCGTACCGATTTTTCGGCTTGTTCACTTCCAGATTTGAACTTTCCCAGGTAAATTGTTGACCTAAAACCAAGTAATTAATATTTAATGATCACTTATCAAAATACTTATCCATATGCAAATCCTCACCTGGATCGACACTCTCATACTCTTGCGAAAACAAGTGGTTATCATTCGCCTTGAGCCGTTCAATGTGGGCGGAGAGGTCGTTAATGAGAACGGGGGGGTTGCAAGACATTGCCGGACTTTTGAAATTCATTCGCCTCATTTCGACCGGATCACTGGGACATTCGGGACCTCCGTTGCCGTCCAAACCCATCGTGTGAATGCCCAGGTTGGAAGTGATGTAGCCCGTCGGCATGGGGCCGTCGGGCCCATCGTTGGAAGCCATTAGGGGTTTAAGAACGCCAGATTGGTCGACGTGCTTGTGAGTTACACGCCTCCTGCGAGAAAAAGAAGGCATGTTGGGGTTTAGTTTATTAAATTTGGGAGAAAAGTGTATGGCTTGATTTATGTAAGGTACGAGAAATAGTCATTTCTGTGGGAAAGGGATTTAAGTTTTGTGTACACACACGCACGCATGATAACCAGTGGCCGAGGAAGCGTGTGTGGGGATCGAGGGTCAATCTTATGTAAACCCTCCCCTACAATATTAATGTCCCCAGATGTCCCCACGGCTTCCGCGGCCACTGGGAAAATTCAAGCTACTCAAATGTATGTACATAATGCAGTGGCCGCAGAAGCGTGTGTGGGGACAGAAGGATAATATCCCCACGGTTATTCGATGTCCGCATCATCTGCCCGTGTTATACAAACCCCTCCCTCCCTCCCCTATCCTACAACATTAATGTCCCCAGATGTCCCCACGGCTACCGCGGTCACTGATCGCCACTACTTTTTAGGTGGAATATTAGATTGAGCAGTGAAAATGGGATTCCAAAAATGCTACACTTTTCCCATATTAAATTAAATTATTGCGTGTCCCTCACAAAACGTGAACCCGTAATCAAGTAAACTCTCAATTTTTATCAATCATTCATTATCCCATCGATCCGACTTATCGACCAATCTCCACTTCCTGGAGGAAAAATGAAACTCGCAATAAAGCACAAGTTGAGACTACTTATTGATAAGGATAAGTGCCATTAATCCTAAATTCGTGTGAGTGTACTCTGAGTAAAAAAACACAAAAATTTCACACAAAAATGTTTCAGACTTTACTTACCGCTTGAACAGGAAGCAAATGAGCATGAAACAAGCCGCAAAGATGACGCTGTAAGAAAAAAACGTGATACATTTTACTTATGTGACTTGATGTGCACTTATTTTTTTCAATTTTTTTTCCACCCGAAAAACTCACCCAATCACTGGAGCGACAACCCATAACACGCCGTGATCCCCCACGTTGCGTCGTAACGTGGTGAGATTGTCGATTCCGGCCGGATTAGCTGGTCGACTGGGTGGTTCGCATGAGTGGGATTCTGTCATCGACAGAGTGATCGGATCCGAGAAGGGACTTGATGTGTATAAATGCTAAAAATAAATAAATAAATTTGAGAAATTTTGAAATTTTCAAAGTTTCCTAAGTATGTTTCTTACATACCTTTTGCGGCGTGTCGACAATCGCTCTCAAGAAAATCCTGTATTTGACGTTCCGTTCTAGCAGCTTGTTCTCGTAGTTGTTATACCCGGCGCCATCGCCCAGTTGAAAGTTGCGAGGGATGGCACGTGGTAAAAAGCGGGCGGCAATGTAGGGATTTAAAACGGGTTGTTCGTCATCTTCGGTGTCCTCCTCGGTAATGTAGGATCCGACAATGGTCACTTTGGCGGGTTGTCCGGACATCATGGCCATCTAAGCAAATTAAGTTAATTTTTATGTAGTGAATCAAGCAATTAATTAATAATTAATTTTTCTTACATTATCCGTCAAAAACTGGTCAGGAATTTTGTTCGCTAATTTTTTAGTGTCGGGAACGACGACGAGGTAGTAATGCGAAATGGGGCCGTATTCTTCCGATGCTTGGGGTAAAAATAGGAAAATTTTTCCGCCTTGATTACACGCGTCGGGTTTGACCTGTAATTAATTAAATAATCAATTAGTTAAGTAGATAATTAATTTTCTTGGTAAGATAAAAGTTAGTTGAACGCACCATTGGTTGTGGAGCTGCCATGTGGGTGGTTACCTATTAAATATTAAATCAAATTTAAGAAAACGTACAACTTTAATGTCTAAAACATACATAATTAGCATAATAATTTTAACATACAGTGATTTTTGCCGGGGGACGGTATCCGTGATCTGGGGGGACAGCAGTTACATTGACATTGTACGTCGTGAAGGGTGATAGCTCTCCAACCGTTATAAACTCCCTGTCCTGCGAGACTGTCATTTCTCTCGCTTTAAACTGTTGCGTTTGGGTCATCCCGTCAGAATCCACGAATCTGTTGATGTTTTATAAAAATTGTAAAACAGTACGTTATACTAACAATGGAGGTCTCATAAGGTCTCCGATTTTTAGAAAATTAGTGTCAAACGATCACAAATTTAATTAGGATGAAATTTGCGAAAGACACGATGTCCAAATGGACACTTTTGGCCGAGATATTTGCATCCCAAGAGGAGAAAACGCGTCATAACGTCGACAAATTTTACACTTTCCGCATTTACTGCGCGTTTTCTCTTCTTGGGATGCAAATATCTCGGCCAAATGTGCCCATTGGGAGATCGTATCTTTCGCAAATTTCATCCTAATTGAATTTGTGATCGATTGACAATATTTTGCTAAAAATCGGAGTGCATTCGCTGAGTAAATAAAATAATCCATCAATCCTTCAACTTACTCTTTGAACGCGTCATACGTAATTTTGTACTCGATCGGATTCAGGCGAACCGGTCGTGCCCATCGAAGCGTCATGCTGTGCGTGCTTAAATCATCCGCGGTCAGATGCAAGGGTACGTCTTCCGGTTTTATCCGAACATTATCCACAATTGAAGAGAGTCTGCCCAATCCCGTTTTAGTTTTTGCAACGACAGCGACCGCATATTGCGAATTTTTCTCAAGGTTTATCAAATCCGCGGAAGTAGTCGCTGGTACGGAGACGGTTTGCCACGTGTCTAAATCTTCGACTGCAGTTGTCGTGTAAAAAACGGTGTATCCGATCAATCTTCCTCGGGCTGGGACCTATGTAAAATTAGACAAAAATTAATATTTTGTGACCGATAAGCATATTTAGACGCTGCAAATGATAAGGTAAAATTAACACGAAATAGACTTACTCCTTCCCACCAAACCTGTAAAAAACAAGGAAAATTCAATTAGTAAAACGTCACCAGAAATGTGTACAATTTTCATATGAAATTTTATAAGCTTACTTCCGCCGTAGAATCCGAGGTCGACATGGCTTGAACATTTGTTGGTCTGTAAATTGAATTTAAATAATTTTTCAAAATTTTGGTAAAAAACGAATTTCAAAATTATGAAATCTATCCTCCTTACGCTCGGATCATCTCTTTTTCCGTCTTGATACTGTACTTTTCACTGAAAGGTCCTTTCCCCTGACTCGTGGCACTACTAACTTGCACCCAGTACTCCTGGTTTTCTTCAAGGGCGACGAAAACGGCCTGACATTTGAGAAAATATTCGATAAGTACACATCTTTAGGGGTCATTTGTATGTATTTAAGTGACCTTCGTAACGGAAACATTTCGCTCTGTCGAGAGTCCCATTTTTCTATGAAAGATGACATGATACTTCAAAATTTGTCCGTTCCTCTCCTCCGGAATTGGCGGCTCCCACGTGACCGCGACTACATCGGCGGTTTGAAATCGGTACGAAATATTGGTCGGCGGTCCGGTCGGGGCTCCTGTATAGATCAATTATATGTTTATAAAAGGGCCAGATATTATATAAATCATTTGTCTAATCATTACGAACCTTCCGGGGTCGTATAATATTTCTGAGCTTCTTGACCATATCCGATATGATTACTGGCCGCGACTCGAAACTCGTACTCGACCCCGCGTTCTAAAAATTAGAGAAAAAATTAATTAGTAACAATTCTCCTGGCAGTGTTTAGTTTCTTGCGAGTTTGCCACATTTCTTGCACTGCAAAGCAAACTACGCAAGAAATGGGAGGTGCAGGAAAGTGCAAGAAATCAATTTCTTCCCATTATTTCTTGCACTCGAAACATTGATCCTTCTATTTTTAGATTGCATTGCATGCAAATTTTACTCACCCAGTTTCTGGAGTTTATGGTGATGAATTTTCGGACCTTCGAGTAGCACTTCTTCCAGTGGACTGTTCCGCACCCCATATTTTACCCGGAAGCCGTGAATCTCTCCGAACGTCTGGATCGGTCTGGTCCACTCGAGCTCCACGGAGACAGCGGTTTCCGTATTGTGAACCCTGTAAAGTGTGCAAATAGGAAATAAATTTCTGTGTCTTGGATCTCAGAAATAACATAAAAATCAACCAGCTGCATACACTTACTTGAGTGTTAAATCCGGTCTACTCGGAACGCCACCGGGAGTCTTAACGTTGACTTTCTTTGACCTCAAGCCGTCCCCTTTTCGCGTTAGTGCGGCCACTTGGACGCCATACTGCGTATCTGGTTGTAAGTCGGACACGTTGTAAAATCTCGCGTTCCCATCCAACACGTCGAACTGAAAGGCAAACCCAAACACGACTTGTAGTCATACAATCACCCAGTTTTTCTACTGTTGGTCGAAAAGGAAATGTTCTTACGCGTAGGGGTTGATTGAGTAAACTGTCGCCGTCCTCTCCAATTTCCTGTGAGGAGAGAAGAATTCGTGTTAAAATTGGAAATGCGTACACTCTAAGAAATCCAGTATTAAAATGACACCAAGCTGTTTCGTATAAGAATCTACTAAAGTGGGATTAAAAATTAATCCTGCGTAGTAATAGGTCGGTATTAAATTTTTACCATATCAGTAGCAACTTTTTACGGACCGGTATACATAATTTTAATACCAAGCGGTAACAACTTTAATACTCAGAAACCAATACCAGATTTCTAAAAGTGCGCGTACATACAGAAAGACTTCCAAAATTTATGTGTGCGTACCTGGACATGGATTTGATACCCTCGGATGACCCCGTGCTTCTCATTCTGATTCGGGGAGTCCCACTTGATTGAGATGGTTGTGGAATTTAAAGGTTCCGAGCTCACGTTTTGCGGTTCTCCAGGGACTATTAATTTTTTCACCCAATAGAATCATTAGTACGAGACCTTGCTCAATTTGTATGACATGGACGCCACCACATATTTACATATAAAAGTAATATTTATAGCACCATCACAGCTACAAGTGGAAAAGAATCCACTCGAGAAAAAAAGAGAAAGTATTGATGACACAAAATCCGTGTCAAAAAGTTAATGAAAATAAGAAAACGAAAAAGTTAAAGTACAACCAAATTCAGAAATTTGTTCCACAACCAATAAATCAGTCATGTTAAAAAATTTCGATTTTTTTTGCTAAGAAATCAAGAAATATAAAGAATAAATAAGAAAGAGAAAGTTAAATATAAAAAACAAGTCATTTTTTAAAAATAGTCACTGAATCAATGTCATTTTTCGCATGCATGAAAACGGAGAAAGTAAATAACAAGAAGATCGTTAAGAATATTGAACATTAAATATTATAGCGAGTAATTAATTTTATGCAAACCTTCACTTTTTATCATGAAGAAGAATATTTATGCAAAGTTGCCTTTATTTTATAACTACTTGACTCAGCAACTTGCGCGAATGTCATAACTATGGCGCAAGTTACCAAGTATGCACATATGCATAAAGGCAGCTTAACTTTTTAGTGATGCTATGAACTTATCATCGTCATACTATGAACAACAACTAACTACACTTTCTCTCATCTAGCTAAATTAATTAATTAATTAATTATTCTCAGACTAACTGAACTGAACGCTAATGACTAACAGAAGGCACTGCACGTTACGTAACGTATTTAATGACGACACATTATCTAGTAGAAATTTAGACTCAATGACGAAGTAAATATGCAAATATGCACTATTTCGTAAATATTTAGACACACCATAATTAATTAAACTAATCTACGCATTTATTTATCACACATTATGAAAACTGACCAAATGATTAGTTTTTCAGTTTTTTTCACTTACTGTGGACTGAGCAAGCCGGAGAGGAAGAGCGATTTAGTTGCGTTTTTTGTTATTCAGTTTTTTTAGCATTTCATTTTTTTTTAGTTTTTAGTAGATTTTTTTTTCGGACGGGCCACGAAAGAGTGAGAGTGAGACACACACGAACAAATGGTCATAGACGAGGAGGTTGGTCACCGAATCAATGAGACGGACACAAAATCAGACAAAAACAACATCCTTAATCAATTCTGCCTTGCTTGATTTTTTTAAATCTTGATTTTTTTAGGGGGACGGGAAGAAATAAAACATAACAAGGTTTTGGTTTTTTTGGGTGAGAATTTTTAGTTGTGGTGGATCAGTGGGTGTTGGATTTTAGTGGTGAAAGTGGAGGTGAAAGTAAGTAAGTGACAGAGGTGGTGGTGGGTGGTAGCTGTACATTTTTACGTATATGGGTTCAGATCAGGGCTGGGCAAAATATTTTTGTGAAAATACATTATTTTGAACTCCGTTTTATCAGGGTTTGGATTTCCAAGGGTGTTACACCCACAAAAAGATGAAAATCTGCAGAGATGACAGCAGTCGTAGGAAATTACAGGTTTTTTGAAGAAACTAACTTTTTATCGTTGTCTTACTTTATTTTAAAAAAATCGTGAAAATAAAGTATTTTGACAGTGGTAAAACTTTAATTTCTTCACAAAACCTGTATTTTCTCCTGACTGTTGTCTTCTCCACGCAGATTCTCACCTTTTTGTGGGTGTAACACCCCTGAAAATCTAAACCCTGGAAAAAACGGAGCTCAAAATACTGTAAATATTTTGGCAAGTATTTTGGCCACCCCTGCTTCAGATTTAATTTAATTTAATAGACATGCCATAACTTTCTTTGTGTACTAATTGAGTTAAATGTACTAATTGTAAGTTACGCAATGCATACATAACGAATTTAGTAAAATATGTATGTTATGAAATGTCTATTTAATTAAAGTGCAGCAACGGGACGACAAAAGTTGGACAATGCGTTAATTGTTCGTTCACTGAATCAAAAAGAGGACAAAACTGGGACCAGAAAGAGTCAGGAAAGTTTAGACAATTGACAATTTTGAAAAGGAAGAAATACTTTCGTATTTATGTAGCTGCTAAGTTTTGGACCATCACTGACAAGACTCAACTAAAAAAATCTACGTTTCACGATCTAAAGAAAAACAAAAAACACGGGACAAAAGGACGATATTAGGACAATGGATGGACGACTACACAGGATTTTTTGTATGGGTGCCATAAATTTTCGTGGAGTAGTGGCGTGCCGTATGGTTTTGTAATGTCAAAAAGTGCAAGAAGTGCAAGAATTGGGTGGGTTTGATATTTGGTGGTTAAAGTTGTGCAATAATTTAATTGATTGTGCAGTTAAATTGAGATTGTTGTGCAGTTATTTATCATGATAGGTTATGGTGTCGGTTAAATATATCATTTGGTATTTGAGGTATTTTTTTTGATCGAGTAGTTTGTGCAGTTTCTTTGATTAGTAGTGCAGTGCTAGTGCCTTGTGTTTTGTTCATTATTTTTTACATGATGCGTTTCCGGTGTGAAAATCGGCCTGCCAAAATTTGCACGTTTTTCTGTAGAAAATTGTCCACAGAAAAACGATTCTGTACATTTTTCTCTCAGTAAAAGTTTGTATAGAAAAATTATGCACTCAAAATTGGCACATTTTTCTTTATAAATTGTTTACAATTCTGCATAGTTCTCTACTTTTACCGTGAAAGTTTATCTACACAGAAAATTGTGCAGATTTTTAGCACGTCGATTTCCATGCGGGTTTATAATTTCTCAAATTTTGTAACTTTACAAGAAATTAGAATTAAGAATATATTTTTTGTTGGGGTAATATTTCTCATGTTGAAAAAGCAAATATTTATATTATTATTGTGTGCGAAAAGCTGGTTAAGTGGCATGCGCGATATTAAAATACCGATATTGATAAGTAGATATCAAAAAAAGCAATGACATGTATAAATTGTAACAATTGGGTAATAAATATGGTGTAATTAAGTAAAGTATAACGGACATGATATTTTCGTGGATCAAGTGGTTCAAGTAGTAGTGCATTTGTTGTAGTAAAGTTTCTTTGTACTTGTACTTGTAAATGTAATTGTACAGTATTTTTGGGTATTTTTTTGTGGATTAAATTTCCGGAAAAGTAGGAATTTATTAAGGAGACGAATAATTTCTAGGAGTTTAGGATAACAAGGGATCTTTTACGTACCTAAAACTACAACAATCCAATCCACTACAACCACTTTACTACTACGTAAATACGGTTAACTTTCAGCATCTAAAATATACGTACAATCGCTAATTTTATCGCTCTATACTACACAAAAATCTTCCAAAAGGTCCTGGATGACATGCATGCAAAACCTTAAAGCTACATATTCAGGCAAAAATACGGACGACTAGTGCACAAAACACGGTGTCCAAAACTTTAAAAAATTACGACACATCATCACTAAACTATGCAAAAATTTGCAAATTTTAGTACAGGCAACGATACAACACGATACAAGAACAAGTAAGAAAAGTGAAAGTGAGAGAAAGCAGGTAAAGGTTTCAAAGTGCATAGTATTTAGAAATACGGGTGGTACAAACAGTGACAGTGAAAATATATATGAGCAGTATTTAGGTTCCTGTTGTCAAAAGCGGTATTAAACTGTTGGGTATATTTTTTGCAAATATATTTAAAATGTTACTGAATGAATGAATGTGAGTGAAAGTACCATCTTCGTCGGTTCGAATGAGCTTAAATTCGGTCAGCGGTCCGTCACCGACCGAGGTGCCGGCTAACATGGAAACTTTATACTCGGTCCACTTCCGCAACTCGTTGATCACGTATTCGCGCGTGTTTGCGTTGGAAATGGTGATCTCCTTGGTCAACGCGTCCGGCTCGTGGTTCTCCACAAAGTAAATCTTATAATACATTATGTCCCCGTGCTGCTTGTCCTCCGGGGGAGGGGCCCACGTGATGCGGAGGGATGTGGAGTCTTCAGCCTCCACCAAAAATTTTTGCGGAGGCGCGCCTGGAGCTGGTTTTAATTAAAATTACATATGTGCAGTGTGCATTAGGTTCACGATTCATACATAAATAAATAAATAAATGATAAAAATAATAAGTTTCTTAGGAAAGAATTCAGTAAAAAGTGAGTGATTCATAAGCAGAGGGCGGATATGTATTTATTTTCAAGTTTTGAATCACGACGAATGATCAAACTTTGTGGGTGCATAGACCACAAAAATTTCAAAATATTTTCACATTTTGTTACATATTTCTAGCTTCTCAGACAATACATATTTCTGTTATTATTTGAAAAATACTAAAGGTACGTAAATCTCGTAGATATTATTTTAAAAATACAAATGTATTTTGCAAATATTTCAACTACAGATATACGATACAAAATTTTCTTGTTTAAAGAAATTCGATCACAAAAATACAGAACATCAGAATTACAAATTTTGCGAAAATTTTTATATTTTTTATTACGTATTTCATCGATTTTTCTCAAATACATATCCGCCCTCTGATAATAATTGTTGTGATGGTGGTGGAAGTGATCGCATGCTCAGTAATTCTTTCCTCGTGAAGAAAATCATTTTAAATTGTCCGTATCAAAACGAAAATGTGCATTGGTAGGTATATAAGTAAGTAAATATGTGTAATAATATTCGATAAGGTGTGTATGATGAGTCCCGGGCGGGTATCGGTCGGACTGCCATCGACGAGGGAAGCATTACAACTCCCGAATTTTAATGAGCTCATTTACGTAGAAATATATAGCAGAACAAACAATACTCGATATCTAGACGACTATGGACTAAATACTTGGGCAGCGTTGGTACTGGTACTGGTGGTACTACAGATATTATGCGTGTCCTCGTTCGTGGTTTGAGCATGATTTAGTATCAGTGGTGGAATGGGTGGTGATGGTAGGTAAATATTTCTGTGGTGGGTGGGTGGCTGGATGAATATTGTATCTGCATAATATTTCCTATATTAAAATATTGGGGAAAGTAGTGAATTTGGTACGGACGGATACAGCTCTCTGGTGAAAGTGAGACTTTCTCTATCAAAATATGGACTGATTGGGTAAAGTATAGTGAATTTAGGTTTGGTGAAAGTGAGACTCGTACCAGGATTTGTATAGAAAGTGAGTAAAACTGATTTAAATTTTAAATCTAGCCGGGCCTAGTTGTACTAACTCACTTGAAACTCGAGTCAATAATTTTACCACGAAGTGTGCATAGAACTACGCCACAAATCGGTATAATACACAGTGGCCGCGGAAGCTAGGGGGAACAGAGGGGCAATGTAAGTTGAAGGTTGTTAGATGTTCCCATCATCTCCCCATATTGTATAAACCCCTCCCTCCCCCTATCCTACAATGACAATGTCCCCACATGTTCCCACAGCTTCCGCAGCCACTGAGAGAATTCAGGCTACTCAAATGTATGATCATAATGCAGTGGCCGCGGAAGTGAGGGACAATGTCCCCACGGTTGTTCGATCATCTCCCCATGTTATATAAACCCCTCCCTCCCCCATCCTACAATGTTAATGTCCCCACGGCTTCCGCGGCCACTGGTTTACAGTATTGGTGTTGGTGAAATTCTCTGTATTTTCACTACGAAATTGTATGTTGGAGATGTAGTTATTGGCGTGGAGGGAGTTGTATGTGGAGTGCGAGAGCGGAGGAAGAATGTGCAATCTGACCTTAATTACTTTATACGAGGCATTTTGTGCAAATCTAGAGTGCTCTACTTATAAGTATAATTATTAGAGAGAGACCAGACCAAATGCGGACTAGATAACATAACAGCTTACTTAATGACGACCACGACGGCGTACTTACTATTACAATCATCATGGTGAAAGCGGCGAATTAATGTCGTGGGTGGCAATTTGTTGTATTTTGTTTTTTTTTGCGGGATTTTTTTGCAAAATATTTATTGTGATTGGGTAGTGGTGGTATTTAGTAGTGAAATAAGGATGTGAATTACATACGTATTCATGCAATATTGATTTTTTATGGGTGTGCAAAATTTGGAGTTATTTTAAAATTTGCAAAAAAGTGGAGTGGTGGGAATTTTTAGTGTAGTTTTTGAAAATTTTGGGGTTTGTTTTCGTAAATATGTCGGTAAAAAATAAAAATTTTAAATTTTGGGACAAACCTTGACCTGGGTGGCTCCGTTTATTTTTTTGCACTGAATTTAATGGGTACGCGTAAAAATATTTATTATTTTGATTGACCACATATTTAACAGCCCTTCCTTATCATCGCTAATTTTCCTTTCCGGTTATGAAAATATGCACGGAGAAAGATGCTATAAACCTAATTTTAGATACAGATCACCATTTTTCACACTATCGCGTCTTATTTGGTAATATGAAAAGCATGAAAAAATATGAACTACTCAATTACTTAATTATGATAAGATAACCACTAAAATTAATAGTTATCATCATATTTACTACGTACTAATCTTAAGAAGACGACGTAAAAAAATGTGAAAAAATCGGGTACTTACTGTATTGCTCCGTCCTGACCGGGATCGGTGGGGTCGTCGCTCCTTCCCCTTTTCTAGACTTGGCTGCCTATAGTTTGCCAAAATTATTTGCATTATTAAAAAAATGTTAAATGTTTTGCGAAAAGAAAAGAAGAAAAATCCATATTTGTCATACAGATAAATCTAAAAAGTGAATTGTGAAAAGTGAAAAAGTAAGTTGAATTAATTTAATTTATTGGATCTTTAAACTTACGCTCTAAATTTTATTAGTTTGCCAAAATTATTGAAATTATGAAATATTTCGAAAATTGCAAGTATTCCGCTACAAGATAAGGATCTGAATTTGTCACATCATAAGTCAAAAAAGTTACAGAATTAATTTATGGAGTCGAAGTGTAACAAATTCATTGCATCTAATTGGATGGAATTATAAAACTGATATCGTTCTACTTGATGACGAATTGTCAAAAGTATTTTTTTTCAAGGGGTAAAAATACATTAAATTTAGTACAATTTTAGAGAATAGTTAATAATTTCATGATTTTTCAAAATTAGATTTAGCTCCGAAAGTATGGTTTTTTGAATAAATTATTGTTCTGAATTTCATTCCATGAAAATTCGTTACCCACTTACCAGCCACATAAAGTACATCGTGTTTGGGTACAGATTCGTTAAAATGTGCTGCTCTCCGACAGATATGCTCCGGTGGCTCGTTTCCTATTAGGATTTTTAAAAATATGTAAAAATTTCAATACATTAAAATATCCCAGTTTTGCCAATTATTGATACAAAGTAAAGTATGCAAACCTTCGAAAACGTGTCATTCCAGTATAATTCGTAGCCCACAATGTTATCCCCGATATGGTTTGGTTTGCTCCACTCCATCGTCGCAGAAGTGGGTGTGACTTGGGAAACTCGGAAATTTCTGGGCTGACCGGGCACACCTTGTTCCGTCTTTGCTTGGATGGGAGCAGACACAGGTCCTAGGAAAAAATTAGCATATTTTTTAAATACTTTGTAATTTACATACTCAAAATTTCCATATTTACTAAACCTTTACCTGGTCCGATGGCAGTGTAGGCTGAAAAAAATAAGTAAAAAATTAATATTAACTCCATAAAATGCAATTTTTGTTTAAATACAAAATTTGAAACTATTTTAGTCCTCAATTTTATAAATTTTTTCGAATTTGAAAAATATAAAAATTAATTATAGAAAATTAATTGAGAAAAGCGGAAGGCACATTTCATACTTAACATGGGCGCAAGTTGCTACATAATAACGAGTGAAGTATAAACGCATTAATGTCAAATTAACGGATCAAATCAAATTTTAATAATTTTCAAAACTCAAATTAATAAATTGCATATTCAACAATTTTAACATCAAAACTTTCACCAACCTTGAACCCTAATGGTGTAAATCGTTCTCGGAATGAGGTCATGGATCGTGGTCATTTCATTGCTTTCCACCCGTTTTGCATCCCATTGCGCCAACGGCAGAGTTGGATTCGTCGTGTAAAAGACTTTGTAACCCTAAAAAAACACAAATATTTTCATACTCACTTATTTGCATAGCATGATTTTTTCCCCGCATAATAGGAAACCAACCACTTGAGTGAGACGCCAGACACAAATAGGTAATTGAAAAATATCGAGAAAAATATGTATTCAGCTTTATTTTTATTTCGATAAAAGCTGTCGACTCGACGAGTGCAGTGGCCGCGGAAGCCGTGGGGCATGAGAGGACATTAACATTGTAGGATGGGGGAGGGAGGGGTTTATATTCATAACATGGTAGGATGATGCGGACATCGAATACCCGTGGGGACATTGTCCCTCTGTCCCCTTAAGCTTCCGCGGCCACTGCATCATGTGCAGACATTTGAGTACCCTGAATTCTCCCAGTGGCCGCGGAAGCTGTGGGGACATGTGGGGACATTAATATTATAGGATAGGGAGGGAGGGGTTCATATAACATGGGGAGATGATGCGGACATCGAACAACCGTGGGGACATTGCCCCTCTGTCCGCGGCCACTGTCGATATTGGGACCATATTGGATTGGAAGTAAAAGAAAAGGAACAAAAATCAAATAAACGATGGAGAGAAAGTTTGATTTAACTTATTGGGAATCGGGTTTTTCTTTCTTTTCTCAACTTTCTCTCCTAGATTTGAGCTGTTTTCTTCTTCTTCTTGTTTGTTGTTTTGCTCTCGCCTCCTCCTCCGCATAAAATTGCGAGACATGAATTGAGTGCATGCAGCATTGTTGTTGAGGGTAAAACTTTCTTTTGTGAGTGAGCGTGCCTTGAGGAGGAGGAGGCTAAGGAGAAAGTTTGGTGATAATGTATTGATTTCAAAGACACACGGAGACGAGGACAAAACGGGGCAGTGATAGGGATCGAAGCAGTGTTTCGGATGGAATAAATAAGTGACCACTTGAAAGAAATTAGGGGAATAAAGTGGTTTCTTGCAGGTAACAAGGAGTAGTCATCAAGTGGTTTTCTCCGATTTTGACGGGACTAATTTTAAATTGTTCACAAACAGAAATAAGGCAACCAGTATTTTTGCGAAAACATTTTCATCATTTTTTGAAATCAGGTTAAAACTGGAAAATCTACAGTGTTTTGAAAATCATGATTTTGGCTGATAAATTATTTAAACGTTCCGTCACAGGGGAAAACGCAGGCATTCAAGAATACGCGGACATTCGAGAAAACACAGAAATACAGGTCCGATTAGTTCCTGTTGGGACTGGTCCGGTCAAAAATCGGAGAAAACCACTTCGTGTCTACGCATTGTAAGTATTTTGACCTGCAAAAAATGGAAGGCACAAGAAACTATGTTCCGGCGCTATCCTTCATACAGCGCGTAGCTAGGTGGCGCATATTTCTGGAACTTTCTCTCAGTTTCTTGCACCTCCCATATATCTTGCATTTCTTGCTTTCCAGTGCAAGGAATGCAGCAAGAACCCGCCAGAACCGAAACCCTGGATGGAATTGGTGCTCGAGAAAACCTGAGGTATTTACTTGTGCAGTATTTATTTCGTTCGAGGAACAATCCGGTTTATGACAAAGTTGCGAATTCTTTTGTCCACCATATGTATTTGTTGATTCGATTGTTAGATAAACATTTTTAGATGGGAATGTCGCATGCGATTTTTTTTACTGATACTTGTAAATACTTAATCTGACGACTTTTATACTCGCATTTAGGTTGTTGGTTGGTTATGTATGTACATAAAATATTATTACGTAACGGACTCAGACTCACCGTAATCTGACCATTCGGCTCAATCGGTTCTTGCCAATTCACCAACATTTGACTGGAACTTAACGGCCGGGCATTTACATCTCGTGGGGCGGATTTCGGTCCTGGAAAAATATTCAGATTTTTAGATAAATTTATAAGAGAAAAAATAGGATCAAAATAAAGTGCAATATTTTATGAAAATCGACTCGCGAAAAATTGGCAAATTTTCTTCGCAAAAATAATTCAGCATGTTTCAGTAGAAAAAAAGTCATGCAGAGAAATTGTGCAGAATTATGCACGTTGCTTATGTGTCAAAAATGTGACACTCTTTAACTATTCCGTACAAAAAATTGCAGAATTCTGCATGTTTCAGTATATAAATTGTGCAAAAATGGGTAAATTTTCAAATTTGCTTTCTAAATAATTGCAGAATTCTGCATGCTTCAGTCATCAGTACGAAAAAGTTATCCAGAGAAATTGTGCAAAATTGTCACTGCTTTGCTAAAAATGTGCCAATTTTCGGCAGGTCGACTTTCATATAAGTTAGATAATTTAAAAAAAATCATTAATAAGTGCTAAATAAATAAATAAATATTTAGCCAATTTTTATCTTGCAACCTTCAGAGTTAAGTAGAAGCATAAGTACGTATGAAAAATGTGGCGCAAAATATGTGTCAAAAAATACATAAAAAACTCATCAAGCAAATCGTGCTGCTGTTCTAAAAAAATGCTAAGAAAAATCAAAAAGTGTGCAATTTAAAATAATGCAACGCTAAATCTACAATTCAAATCAAACAACGCTTAACACTCTTGATTAAAATCCTTACTTGTGCTGCCATACGTTGCATCCACTGATTCGCGCGAGTTAGCGGGATGATAAATTAATTAATTTCATGAATTAGTTCAGTTATTTACAATACATACATACAACATTTTTTCATTATTAGTCATTCAATATTCACAGGTGCTTAAGTATGTAATTCTGTTTTATTCATATTTCATAAGAGGTGGGCCAAATATTTTGGTTAAAAAATACAGTATTTTGAGCTGCGTTCTTCCCAGGGTTTAGATTTCCGGAAATGTTACACCCAGAAAAAGACTGGAATCTATTTGGAGAAGGTAACAGTTGTGCACAAAAAGATGGTTTCTGAAGAAATTTACTTTTTATTGCTGTCAAAATACATTGTTTTCACGATTTTTAAAAATAAAGTATTTTGACATCGATAAAAAATACATTTCTTCAGAAAACCCGTATTTTTGTATACCTGTTGCCTTCTCCACGTAGATTTTCGTCATTTCGTGGGTGTAATACCCCCGGAAATCCAAACCCTCCGAAAAACGTAGCTAAAAATCCTGCATTTTTCTAAAATATTTTGCCCACCCTTTAAAAATATGATTTTCCGCAACTCACTTGTCTCTCCGGTTGTGGCGTCAATTGGAGGTGACGCTTCTCCACGGCCCACCTTGTTGAACGCGACCACATTAAATTCATACTCTGTGTACGGATTGAGCGAAGTGATCATGTGGTCTTGGTTGAGAACGCCGCTGATTTCTGCATAGTCCTGGTTCGAGAATTTTGGCTTGTACTGGATCACGTAATAGGTCACGTCTTCCTGCTCGTTCGATTCGTAGGACCACGTCAATCTCACCGAGGATGCAGTAACGTCGGAAATTCGCACTTTGGATGGTGGCTTAGGTAGCGCTGTGGATATCACGAACCAGAAAAATTAAGTAGTCCAAAAAATGCGTTATAAACTTGCGCCAATGTTATAATTTAACTATGGCGCAAGTTACAAAAAAGTGTGGTGCCTTAAACTTGTGCCAATGTTACTGCTTGTGTCCTTTCAACATGTGCTGGTCGCTAATAGTGAAACGTGAATGATGATGCTGAGTATAGCAAACGCAGGTGCACAGTGTGCGGATCGCTAAAAAAGCGGACAAATTATTTTTAGGTTCGAGCCCCAGTCGTGGCAATATTTTCGTTTGCATTTTTGCTAACTTTTTAAGGATGGAGGGTTCAGAAACCACAATCCCTTCGACCTACGACGACCTGGTGACCGTGTGTACGGAACGAAAAGTGAGAAATATCAAATTTTCGTACTCTTAGCAACCAACTCTTTGTGCGAATGGAGAGTACGCGGGGTGAAGCAAATTTGCGGCACCATGTAGCATCCAGAATGGACATGAAAAACCAAATTGAAACCTCGACATATTGTAGAAAATATTAATTAAAAAATATTTTCTCTATGCCATTTTTCGAAATCTTTCGTTCCTGACCTTTTATTAAGGGGTCAAACTCCCTCCGTCCGTATTATGATTTCTTGAGAGCGGATGCGAATTTCGACATGCGATTTTCACCGAAAGCGCTCAGAATTCGCCCGGACGCTGACGGTGAAAACCACATGTCGAAATTCGCATCCGTTCTCAAGAAATCATAATGCGGACTTGACCCATTAATAAAAGGTCAGAAACGAAAGATTTCGAAAAATTTTATGGAGAAAATATTTTTTAAATAATATTTTCTAAAATATACCGAGGTTTCAATTTGGTTTTTCATGTCCATTCTGGATGCTACATGGTGCCGCAAATTTGCTTCACCCCGCGTACTCTCCATTCACACAAAGAGTTGGTTGTTAAGAGTACTTTTCGTTCCGTACACACGGTCACCAGGTCGTCGTAGGTCGAAGGGATTGTGGTTTCTGAACCCTCCATCCTTAAAAAGTTAGCAAAAATGCAAACGGAAATATTGCCACGACTGGGGCTCGAACCTAAAAATAATTTGTCCGCTTTTTTAGCGATCCGCACACTGTGCACCTGCGTTTGCTATACTCAGCATCATCATTCACGTTTCACTATTAGCGACCAGCACATGTTGAAAGGACACAAGCAGTATACATAGTTTAACTATGCCGCAAGTTACAAAAAGTACAATCTACTCACAGCTTTAAACTTGCGCCAATGTTATAGTTTAACTATGGCGCAAGTTACAAAAAGTACAATCTACTCACAGCTTTAAACTTGCGCCAATGTTATAGTTTAACTATGGCGCAAGTTACAAAAAGTACAATCTACTCACAGCTTTAAACTTGCGCCAATGTTATAGTTTAACTATGGCGCAAGTTACAAAAAGTACAATCTACTCACAGCTTTAAACTTGCGCCAATGTTATAGTTTAACTATGGCGCAAGTTACAAAAAGTACAATCTACTCACAGCTTTAAACTTGCGCCAATGTTATAGTTTAACTATGGCGCAAGTTACAAAAAGTACAATCTACTCACAGCTTTAAACTTGCGCCAATGTTATAGTTTAACTATGGCGCAATTTACTTAAAAGTGAAATCTTCTACTCAAAAAAGTACTTACATTGCACTTTCACCGTCGTATTTGCCTCCTTCATGCCCAACTTTGACGTCGCTGTGCAAGTGTAAACCGCCGTTTCTTTGATGTTCTTCAGCTGCAAGACGTTCTTTCCGATCGGGATGGCGTCATCGGGGGTTAAATCTTCAACACCTTTCCTCCACCTGATTTTTTATCATAAATTAAGTTATCATTAGGTCCAGTGAAAATAAAAATGTGTAGTTTTTTGAAATCTAGTCCTCGAAACCGTTTGAAAAAATCGTTATAAATTAAGTTAGTAAATAAACAATTCGTGGAAAAGTTTGTCCTAAATTATTCGTTCTTATCTATTCCTCTTACCTCACAGTCGGCATTGGAGATCCGACAGCGACACAGGTCAAATTCAAGTCCGCGTTGAGCATAACTTCATACAAAGTTTCGGGTGGGACAGAAAACTCTGGCGAAACTCGTCTCTCTGCAAGAAAAACAAAATAAATAGTAAATTCCCATTTTATTTCTTCCAAATTAACCATCAATATCAATAAAATTTGCGTAAAACGAAACAATTACTGATGAAGCGGGGGAAATTAAGTTGACACTAAAAACTTCTAAAATTATTGCGTATACATAATTCGTTCTAATTAAATTCAAATTATTTCCTCCCTTCTTCTTCTTCTTCCAGAACATTATCATTTCTTGCTCATCCTCCAAGTCATTTACTTTCATTAGGAAAAAGCTCGTGGGATGAAGGAGGAAAGCGTTGGCGAGGGTGTGAAGTAGACAGTGGCCGCGAAACGAGTGGGTGGGGACAGAGGGACAATGGGGTTTTAGATGTCAGCATCATCTCCCCATTTTATATGAACCGCTCCCTCCCCCATCCTACAATGGCAATGTCCCTACAGCTTCCGCGGCCACTGGGAGAATTCAGCCTACTCAAATGTATATACATGAAACAGTGGCCGCGGAAGCGTGGGTGGGGACAGAGGGACAATGGGCCCTAGGTTGTTCGATGTCGGTATTATCTCCCCATCTTATATAAACCCCTGCCTCATACAATGTTAATGTCCCCACATGTCCCCACAGCTTCCGCGGCCACTGGAAGCTGGCAGTGAAGTGAGCTTTCTTCGTTGTGGTCGTAAGCAAGCTAATTAATTCACCAAGAAAACACCAACCAAAAGTTTTTACTCTTCTTCGCATTCTTATTTTCCTTTGGTTTACTCTCTAATTAAATCAATTTCTTCTTCATCTTTTCCCCCCACACAAAAAAGTGGGCGGAATTTAACATGCGGATATACCTAGATTTACATAGTTGCATAAGTGGTAAATATTTTGCGGAGGATAAAAGATCATCATATTTATTACGGTCGTGGCGTGGGGTGGATGATACACGGCGCACTTGCTCATAAAGAGTGCAGCTTTATTTAGCCCGAGTCAGGGTGTTATTAATAAATTGAGGTGGGTATAGTACAATCTTTTAATTTTTCCACATATTTTCCTCATCTTCAAACTCGATTCATAATTTTGCTTGTTCTTCATGAGTCCAAAATTTAAAGTCGATTGGATAAGATTTACCAGCGCAATCGATATACAGACAGACAACCATGACGGGTACATAAGCCCTGACTTTTTAAAAACAAATTTCCCGTACATTTTGCTAATTTTTCAATTTGATTCGTAATTTTTATGTTCTACGTGTGTCCAAAGTTTCAAAAGTTTTACGAGCTTAATTGATACATAGACAGACAGACAACCATTTCATAAGCCTTGACTCGGGCAAACCATTTATACTCGTAAAATACATACATACGTTTGCCAGTTAGTTTTTTTAATCCCACGCAAAATATGTGAATCCACCCGAATAACGTAGCTACGTTATCCTACAGCGGCTCATAATTATGCGAAAAGGAAGAAGATCCAACCACGGACAAAACCACATAGCACAACCGGCTCTCAAAATTCCTTCCTTTCCTTTCTCCGGTCCTCATAAAACTTCCACCCGTTCCGTAACACCAGCAGCAACAAGGAAACTACGTTCGAAAGACTATGCTGCATGGCCAAGCTGATAAAATAATTCGTTATTTATTCAAAAAAGCTTGTGGTGTGTGTGTTAAAGAATACTTGGTGAGTTTTTCCTTCCCTTTTGCACCCACCAAAAGAAGAGAAAGGTGAACATGGTGGTGGTGATGGTCGAAAGAAATAAGCAACACGATCAACCAATCACCGCGGAAGCTGTGGGGACATATGGGGACGTAAAACCTCTTTCGACTACTAATTTTTTAATAAAATTTCCCTTCAGTACGATATTGATTTCATAGGCAATTACACCTGGTAGTTACCAATTAAAATTTTCAACCGGTTTCAAAATTTTTAATTTTTTGAAGAAAAACATGAAAAATCCACTTTTTAACATTGATCGGTATAGGAGAAATTCCAAAATTTTATTAGAAAAATATCGAAAAAATCCACTTTTTCTCATCGATTTTGCCACAAAATACCAAAGAAATACTCTCTTTTTTAAAGAAATTTTGGTGGGAGGGTAATTTGTAGGTTAACATTGCAGGATAGGGGTTTATATAACACGGGGAAATGATGCAGACATCAAACACCCCTGGGGACATTTCCCCTCTGCCCCCCCCCAGTTCCGCGGCCCCTGCTCCACCCCGACCCTGCTGGTTAATCCTTACGGCAAACAAAGCAAGATTTACGAGCTTTCTCCTTCCCCATAAACATTCACCACTCTGCTACTTCTACTTCTTGGGCGTCCTCTTTTCCTCCTCCCTCACTCACTTTTCTTAAAATAAAGTGTAAAGTAAAGTGAACCAGCTTAAGGAATGGATGGATGTGGATGCATTCACTATTTCCCATTTATTTGCCGAAATGGTAGTTAAAGGTGGAGCGGAGTGAATTTTCTTTGTACTTTACGGCGCACGAGAGTAAAGAAGTTGTTACGTTTATTTAGCCCGGCTCGCTTTCTTCTCTGCATCAAAATCCCATACCAATTCACCTCAGGTTTAAACACGTAAGGGTAAGACCGTCATCAAAGAAAGGTGGTGAAAGTAAAGAGAGAAAGAGGGGATAAAAAACATTAGCATTAACACACACCCCATTTCTTGGGGTGTTAGTTACTCTAGAGGAGAAAGTTGGAGTAGAGTCGTCATGTAATGAGAGAGAGAGAGAGAGAGAGAGAAAGTTTATAATTCGTTATGGCTACAGATTAGTTTTCATATCGTAAGGGGAAAAAAATTAAGGAAGTAGATGCGTATGGAGCCATCTTTGCGACCTATTTGCGTAATTGTTGTTCTTTTTTGCGGGTTTTTTGGCGTATGTTTTTTTTTGCTACAATTTTTTACCCTTAATAGTGACGAAACGTTTATTCTGTTTATATATGTTAGCGATTTAAAGGCAGAAATTCCTGTGTTTATTTTCATGCCTAAAATGCCAGAAATTTATTTCATGCCCAAAATTTTGGCAATTTGGTTTCATTCCTAAAATCTCATGAATTTATTTGCATGCCAAAATTTCTACAATTTTATTTTCATGACCAAAACGCTAAAAATCTGATTTCATTTCCAAAATGCCACGGATTTATTTCCAAAATATCCGGAATTTACTCTCCTGCCAAAAATGCCCGGGATTAATTTTCCTGCCCGAAACCCGAGGCATCTATTTTCATACTTTCAGAATTTCACAACTCTGCTTTTGATGCATTTCCTCGTCCAACCAGAAGAAAGGATAATTTCTGAATAAGTACTTATTTCTCCAATTCTTTATCTACGAATACTGGATTCGAATCGGCCCCCTTAATTCCAACCACCTGCCAACTTGTTAAGACTTTATTATTTAAATTAGCACATGCAGAATCGTAATCATGATCCTTCATTGATTTGAATCGAGGCCAATCTCTTGAAACACAATGGGAGAGAAAATTTGAGCAGAAGAAAAGCACTCAATCCCAGCAGCCCCAAGTTTTTAAGAAGTTGGATTTTAAACCTCTTTGCATCCTAATTGGCTACGTGGCTAACTCACCGTGAGAACGGTGAGCATCATCGATTTCAAATTTCAACAAGAAACTTAGCAAGTTCCTAAACCTTTACAAAATCTGAAGATTTTCGAGAGAAAAGCGGAATTAGGAAGGTAAGGAAATGGTAAATATTGGAGCTATTTTTGGACAAAAACGCAGTGAATTCGAGCCTATAAGCAGTGGCCGCGGAAGCTGTGGGGACATCTGGGGACGCTAACATTGTAGGATAGTAGGAGATGGAAGGGTTTATATAAGATGTGGAGATGATGCGGACATCGAATAACTGTGGGGACATTGTCCCTCTATAATCATGCTTCCGTGGCCAATGAATCATTTTCACACATTTGAGTTGCCTGAATTCTTTCAGTGACCGCGGAAGCTGTGGGGATATCTGGGGACATTAACATTGTGGGATAGGGGAGGGAGGGGTCTACATAAGATGGGCAGATGATGGGGACACCAAATAACCGTGGGGACACGGTTCCGCGGCCACTGCGGCTGTAAGTCGATTTCTTCACATAATCTGACCTTCTCTCATCTGTTTATTCGACAGGTCTGTCACCACGCCATTCATTTCATTCCTTGGCTGGCTACTAATTTGGGTGGTTGGGCTTAAGTGAAGGAGAATCGAACTATCATAAAGATTTTAGTTAAGGTACGAGAATAAAGTTTTTTGGACCTGGATTTTCTCCTCCTCTGCATAAATGAACTTTCTCCATGATCCGTGTGTGAACTTAGGAATAGTTTACGCTGTGGGGGAAAGGTTTTGCTTGCTAATGTTTTATCTGAGTGGGTGGGTGAGCACTGTGAGCAGTGTTTCGGATGTAAGTAACCACTTGCAAGAAATAACGGGGAGAAGGTGGTTTCTTGCAGGTAAATATTTTGCCCTACAAGAAATGCAGGGCGCAATAAACTGCGTCCGATGCTATAATTACTTCATACGGCGCGTGGCTTGATGGCGCATATTTCTAGCACTTTCTCCCAGTTTCTTGCACCTCGCATTTCTTGCGTTGCTTCCCTTTCAGTGCAAGAAATGTCCGCAAAAAACGAAACACTGGGTATAATAGGTGCACATCGTTTACGAGGAGCTGTAGGTATGTATGCTCAGGTAATTTAGACTCGATTTGCCCCGAATTTGAATTTTAAAATGCCCCCAAGTTTATACTAAACCCACGCCTACGACATATCCTGCCCTGCCCTTTGGACACTGCACAACTCTACCATCCAGTAATACGATACCCCCTCTGACCGTATGTAACCTCAGATCCATAACCTTGATCCATTTCATCATCTTTTTTATCATCCAGTTAAAGGTTAAACCTCATCACGCCATGCCACAGTTTGTTCGTATGCATTTTATTTCCTCCTCCCAGCAACAAAAGGCAATCAAACCGGATGCACACAAAGAGTGAAAGCAAAGCAGAACGATGATCAAAATGAAAAAGGAAGACTCAAACGGTATTGAATTTACAAGGTTGATTTTATGCATTTTTTTACCTTTGACGTATAACCTCGCACTGTTGCTGGTCTCAATTCCCACCGGGTTTTCCACGATGCACTCGTAATTCCCGTCGTCCGCCTCGCCCGCGTCCATGATTTGGAGCGTGGCTGCAGAACAATTATACGATTTTTTATTATTAGGATTTGATTCTAGGAAGGGTATTTTATTTATGTCTTTTTTTACATACCTCCGCCAGGCCCAATCATTTGGAATCGATCGCTCGGTTGGATGGGCAACAGGTCCTTGAGCCAGACTTGGAAGGAAAAAAGAACATTTTTTTATCTCCAATAATTGCTTAGACATTGATATCGATGGTCATTTCTTTTCTTACCAATATTAATGGGTTGCATGCCAGAAGCGTTGCATATCAGGGTTGCAGTCCTCCCTTTTTCGACGACGCGGGTATTCGGAGCTTCCGTTATTCTGAGGGAAATAGGTGAAAAATTAGGTTAAAAATTAAGGGAGGAAATATATTAAGCAGTTGAAAAATGTACGCTTTTAAAATTCCGGGAACTTTCCCTAACTCTTGAGATGCATGAAAATTTCCGGACTTTAAATTACTCTAGACCGTGATTTGAACAATTTTCAAAGTGTCTCCAGAAATTTTGGATCTTGAATTGACCCAAAATTTCTGGAGACAGTATGACAAATTGTCAGAGGACGCATTAAGCGTGATTTTCAGATCGACTCGGAAATTTTGACCAGGAGATATTTCTAAAATTACGAAAATTATAAAAACGTAGATTTCCTAACTGCCCATTATACAACAGAAATATCTGTATATTGAATATTTTACATACCGTGGGAATCCATCGGGTGCTTCTCCTTCTGCAAAAGGTTCAAAATAAATCATCATTTATTACATGCAAATTCAGCCAGAATAATAATGCAGATTATTTCTGATGACTGGTCATACTGGATTTTTGTACAATCGCCCAAAATACTAACTCCCAAAAAGAGAAAGTCCAGCCACCACGAAATAGTGTATGAAAAGTCGATAATAATGCCTGTCTGTCTAGCCTGAATACAATTATCTTTGTCATGTCGTCATTATTCTGCAGGGATTATATTATATTATGCACTCGGTACGAAGTGCGCTTTCACCAGGCATGTCTTTGTCATTGTACGTAACGTAACGTAATTGCAGGCTCACGTTTTCAATTGACGTGTCCATCTCTACTACTACCAGACGACGAGTAGTAATGAGGTTGTCACCAATTTGTCACGACGTTGAAACCCAAATCAAATTATATCCAATTTCTTGTTGTTATAACTTCATTAATGAGCTGATTAGACGGCGCATTGGCATGTAGGCATATTTATTATCGGGTAAGAATGTAAGGGTCGGTTGGGGTGTCTTACATATTTATAGCGTCAGGCAGATGACTATTTCACCGAGAAATTAGAGAGAGAGAAATAATAAAAAAAATAGTGACAACTTTCACTCGGAACAAAATAATTTATTGTCGGGTATGAATTATTGTGTAAGGGTCGGTTTTGATGTCTTATTTTTACATTACTCAGGTGATGAGAAGTTAGAGAGAAAGCGGAATAAAATAGTTTTTAAAATTCTTGAAAACTTTCACTCGCTACACAATACATAAGTCGCAGGACACCCTCCGTAGACAAGGGTCGGTTTTGATGTCTCATTTGTAGCATCAATCAGATAACAAACTTGAGAGAAACCGAACTAAAATATTTTTAGTAGCTTTAAAATTCGTGACAACTTTCACCCGCAACAAAATACATGTGATCATCCAGTCCATCCTTACATACCCTACACGACAACATGCCAGGACACCCTCCGTGAACTGGACATGACACGGAGAAGGTCGACGTGAAACATGTAAACCGCACAAAATTCATGTCTCTTTAAACAATGTAAGCATTTGTTACTCCGTCCTTCCGCCCAAGTCCAGTAAATCTTTCCCCTTTTCATTTCGTGCATAACGATACAAACGTGACGGCTAAAATGTATGTAACATAACATAAAATGTAAACTGCATGTCGGCCAGAAAGTCGGGACTGAAACTAAACTAAATTTCCCCCCAGCAGATCAACACCTGAATTATCCCGGCGCAACTTTCTCTCTACCCGAAAATACATTCACCCAGCCATAAATTGTGCTCATCGTGTCACCCACACGTTTTATGAGAGGTTTAAATGCTTTCCTTGTCCCTTAAAACACCAACGAAAACCAAACCAAACCACCAATCCAATCCAATCCCGGCACTCACTCGTTCCGAATCTCAAATCTAATCTGATCACAATCTTTTAGTGGGAAGGGAGTCAGCCTGATATGAGAATCGGGTGTGTATGTGGGGTCACAAAGAGTCGTAAACTAGACGACGACGGCGGCGGAGAACGAACCAACGACGAATTAAAATTAGGTGCTGGACGGACAAGGCTGCAATTCATTTAGGAAGAAGTCTACAGTATTTTACTGGGGTCGATAAGATAAATCTTGGCGGAGATAAAGTCAATAAAGTGCAATTTTACGTATGTATGAAAATGGGAATGTGGAAGTTTCTGGGTGAAAGATGGATTTTTTTCATAAGAGAAAGTGTTTCGTTTGCCACATTGATTGCACGACAAATCAAGAAGCGAAAAGAAATGGGAGGTGCAAGAAACTGGGAGAAAGTGCAAGAAATATGTGCCATCTAGCCACTCGCAGGACGAAATATCGCGGCGGGGCGTAGTTTCTTGCACCTTGCATTTCTTGCAGGTCAAAATATTTACCTGCACGAAGCCACTTTCTCCCCGTTACTTTCACTAAAAACACTGATAAGGGAATTCCATTTTCCGTGAGACATACAATTTCCCTAAACCTCGCCAACAATTAGTCTCCCTCCTGATTTTACCTTTAGATACCCTGCCTCCGAAAATTTGTCATCTTAATCCCATTATTCCCATAACCAGCACCACCACCACTCTCATAAATGGGAAAACCGATTGAAATTCGATGGATAATAAACCCATATCAATTTTGCTTTCTCCGGAACAATCGTCACCACCACTGCTACTTTCACCATACGCTTTTATCTCCTCCCTTATTTTCGTAGGAGAAGTGTAAAATAGTCGGAGCAATGTGTTCCCACTTTTTCCATAATAGGCATTGAAATGCAGCCGTAGAAATTCAATCTAATCTCGAACCAATGAAATGAATTTAAATGGACGATCCAGAAAGAAATTCAATATTGTCTTTGTCACCAGGAATACCCATTCAATGGCATCATTGAATCGCATCGCCACCCACTCCTCGCTCGGAAAAGACACGACTCAATGTCCAAAACTGGATCCAATTGACAATTTGAACCCCAAAAGAATGGGAGAGATAGATACATACGCTACGCTACACGATCGACCAGCACCCTCACTTTCGTTCCTTCGACAATTCTTTATTTAGGGGGGAAAGCCCTTCATATGATCGTTGTGTCCGTCCGTTTGTCTGTCTATTGGTTCAATAGCTCGTGGACATTTGAAACTTTGAACCTAAGTTCCTTACGTCAATGGGAATACCTGATTAGAATTTGCGCGCTAAAGGTCGGACAAATAGGTCACAAAATAGACCTTCACGGTCAAATAGGTCACAAAAGGTCACCAAATTTTAATTTGCATACATATCCAAATTTAATAGGAAATTTAACCCCGAATCCAATGGTGACCACCATTTTGACCTCAAAGGTCACAAAAACGTCACAAAATGTATGCGCCCCAAATTTTGAAAACACGCGTGACTTGTAACAAATTTCAGAGAAAAACAATATGATGTTCATTTTGACGTATGCATGCCACACAGCTTTCACCCCTTGGTTACATGCGTTTTTAATGCTTTATTTCCTATACATTCATTCCTTCTGCTCTTGCTGCTGAATGGCACGACGAGAAGATAGCTAGACGAGGACGACATAATGTAATGCAATACAATGCATAATGAAATCTAATACAATGTAATGCAACGCGATAAAATGGGACATTTGCTTTCTCTCGTGAACAAAAGGGGAAGAAAAAGACCAAGAGAAAGAGGATGAACCTGAAAATGAGGAAAAGTTGTAGGAGGAAATTCTTCGAGGTGTACAATGGTCTGGATAAGAGGACAAATTTCTCCAGCATTTTTATAACATTGGTGCTATAATTTAAATGGGTAAATACCCTCGAGATCCGGATAAGTACAATTCTAATAGTAAATTACAGTTTGAAAAGAATGCAGGATACGAAAAGTTGCATAGTTTTTAGGAAAATTTTGTAATGATGGGGGAGAAAGCGGGCGTGATTTTAGAGGGGAAAATTAAACAGGATATCAGAAATACAAGATCTATTACGGGAAGATCTAGACCAGTGTTTCGGGTGAAAGCAACCACTTGCAAGAAACCACTTTCTCCCCGTTATTTCTTGCAGGTAAATATGATGACCAGTAAGAAATTCAAGACGCTAAAAACTGCGCCCCACCGTTATACTTCATACGGCACGTGGCTAGATGGCGCATATTTCATGCACTTTCTCCCAGTTTCTTGCACCTCGCATTTCTTGCGTTGCTTGCTTCACAGCTCAAGAAATGTAATTTCTTCGTCAAAAAATTTAATTTCTCGCAGTTTTCTGCACCTTGAATTTCTTGCATCTTGAATCTTTTCATTCCAAGAAATATGGCAAACCCCTCAGAAACGAAACACTGGTCAATTCCAGTTCGAAAAGAACCCAACGAACCAGTACGAAAATTGCTAATTATGAAACATCACATTTTTCCACGTGTCTATACCCCAGTGAAAGCTATACGTTCCTTCCTTGCCCAAAATCCCTCCGTCTTCTCCCGATGAAGCAAAGAAGTGGTAATGAAATACGACAGAGTATCATTACATCTTTGGTGAAGCCGTATTAAGTGTCAGCAGCCCGTATGTATTTACTAAAGGGAGAGCCAACGAGAGTGTCGTATCCAATAAACCCTTTGGTGAAACAAGACTCTAATTTACTCGGGAGACTTTCACTCCCTCCTCCAAAAGCCTGGAGAAAGCGATATCCCGGAAAGTAATCAGATGTGACCGTACAAATACGAATCGATGCTCATCTTCCCATCACTCGCTCACACTTCACGAGCGATGTGAAAATCCGTCTCACTTTTCTCCCGTGTCATTTCTCATTTCGTTCCAAGAAACACGAGGCATCGAGAGAATTTGGATGAAGGAAAAGGTGAGAAGAAGAATTTGGTCAATATTTCTTTTTTCTATAGAAATCTTCCACGTTGTTTTTGACCAGATTGTTTTTAGACTTGTTCAAATCTTATTTATTTATTTTTAGGAAAAGGTGTACCAAGAATTTGGTCACTCAGGGGAAAAAGATAAGCAATAATTTTATATAAGAAAAAATCCAGACTATATTTTTGACCAGGTTATTTTCAGGATTGTTCAAAACATAATTATTTATTTTTCCTTTGTTCCTTAAGTTTTTGTGCTTGGTCAAATCTTATTTATTTATTTTTGGGAAAATGTGTGAAGAATTTGAAAAAAAACATAAGCAATATTTTTATATAATAAAAAATCCAGACTATTTTTTTGACTAGGTTATTTTCAGAGTTGTTCAAATCGTATTTATTTATTTATTTATTTCTCCTTTGTTCCTTAAGTTTTTGTGCTTTCTCCTCCTAATCAAAAGCGCATTTGTGTCCCGTGTGGTCCATGAAGCTTGATTAATTCGTGTGGGAATAAGACCTCATTGCATTCAATTTACTATTTGTAAGTGCACATGATTGCATCTCTCCCCTCTTTCCACTAATGTGATGGTCATTATGATGGTAGTACTAAAAATAGCCCGGATGATGGTTAAGACAATTCTCA